TTAATCAACTGCTCCAAGTTAGTGATTAGGCTCTTTAATGACTGCAAAGAACTTGCATGGAGGTGTGGGTGGGTGTGTGCAGCTGTCACCCAGAAGGAGTCGGGTGCTGCAGTGGCAGCAACCCCGGAATTTGCATGCAGGTGCCACTGAGTTGCTCCATCCTGTGAGCAGAGGATGAGCGCATGGACCACGGCAGGCAATGCACATCTGGATTCCAGCACAAAGGAACTGGAGCAACAGAGCTGGGGACATGAAAGGTCTCCTAATATAGCATAGAGGCAAGGATGGGTTTTTCAATTCATCATTCTAGAGTTCTTGCAGTCTGCCCTTCTATAGCATGCCGTACAGAACTGTAGCTGACCCTTGCCAAGTCATGGAAAAGAGGTGACTCCCTTATTGATAAATCTCAGCAGTGGATCAGGCATTCAGATTGTCTGCTGAGCTATGGCACGTCTTATACCGAGTCAGACCATTGGCCCACCTCGCTCAATATTGTGTATAATGACTGGCGGCAGGTCTCCAGGATTTCAGAAAGGAGTCTCTTTCAGACCCTCCAAGGGTCCCTATTTTCCAGGGACAGTCCCAGATTTACAGAAGCCATCCCAGTTTCTGATTTGATCCTGGAATGTCCCACTTTTCCTTAGGATGTCCCTATTTTCTTCAAGGCAATATTGGAAGGTTTGGTAGGACGTTCCTACTTTCATTGGAGAAATGTTGGAGGGTATGGAGTTATCTGACCCCTGAGCCATCTGAAGGCAGCCCTGTACAGGGAAGTGTTTTGGTGTTTAATGTTTTATTGTGTTTTTATATATGTTGGAAGCTGCCCAGAGTGGCTGGGACAACATGGTCAAATGGGCAGGGTATACATAGCAATCATCATCATCATTATTGAAAAGGATGTCCCTATTTCCATCAGAGAAATATTGGAGGGTATGCTCTCCCAATCCTACTTGGAGCTGCTGCAGATGGAATCTGGGACTTGCTACTTGCAAGGCAGAACCTCTGACGCTGAGCTCAGGAGATGTTCAGAGTTGTGAAAAGCCCTGCTGGATCAGGCCAGCATCCTGTTCTCACAGTGGCCAACCAGATGCCTCTGGGAAGCCTGCAAGCAGGACATGAGCGCAAGAGCACTCTTCCCATTTATGGCTCCCAGCAGCTGGTATTCAGAAGGGCCCACTGCCTCTGACAGTGGAGGCAGCACATAGCCATCATGGCGAGTAGCCAGTGACTAGCCCTCTCTATGGATTTGTCTAAATCCCTTTCAAAGCCACCCTCAGAATGGGCTGCTTGAATGCAATGGTGTTGCTTTCCAGGTTTTCTGCAGCCCCTCTGGATGCAGCAGGGGAGATTTGCTTTGTCGCCTTGTGTTTGCAGCAAAGCCCTTTCTGCCTAATCTGGGGCTCCCAGCTGCCGTCTTGTCCAGCCCCCCAATCCCAGTTGTATTGCCTTCCTTGGAAGAAAAGCTTATTATGTCCAAATGGATGCCTGGAGTGCTAATTTATTTCGGATCAAGTGCAAATGTAATCCCAATCCCAAAGCTGCTGTATTGTATCGTATAAGAAGGCAGGGCAGGAAACAGAAAATCTTCTCTTGAAAGGGAGCAGCCTGAGAGGGACACAATATCCTCCGTTTATTAACCAAAGCGACATAAAGCCGGCTGTCACTTCAATGTGATACGAAAGGCAGCGCAAATCTCTGCATGGCATTTGGTGGGGAAAGGGTGGCGCTTATAGCTAGGCTGCTTCAGCTGGTCCCAGGTGCTCCATGAAGGATGGAGAGGAGTGGGGCAGCCCAGATATCCGCCCCACAACCCCATTTAACTGCGGGGGAGCAGCTCCCTGCTCTGTCTGCCAGTTGGAGCTGCCACCTTCCCCATCTCAGCTCATGCTGGGCAGAAGGAGCAGATGCTCCCCTGTCTCTCCACATTAAGTGTTTCTGTTGCTGCAGGATGCTTGGCAAGGGCTCGGGACTCTTCCTAATGTAGCGCTCAAACGAGAAGGTCCTCTTTGACTGTATTATTTTGAATAATTGATCCCTTCAAGTTGGAGTCAGAGTGCTGCTGTGATGGAAAAGGGTTGTCATCTCATAAATACTTCATGGGGAAGATGATGGGAGTCATCTCGGAGGGTACTGGGGGTGGGGAAAAGCTAGCAGAGCTCATTGCTAGCAGAGCTGAGTGCCTCCTTAGATTGGCCCCAGAAGGATCCTCCCCTCAGATGTGGAATTCAGAGCATTGCAGTATCTATTTATTTGTTTTAAATCTATGCCACCATTCTTGCCCAAGGACAACCAACAGCAGCTGGCAGCCATCCACATATTAAAAGAATATAACAAACTATCTCAGAATTGCGGCAAAACATGCAAGCAAGAACTCCTAAGGAACTTGAGGGTTTTCTGGATGTTGAGGGACACCAGAGCCACTTCCCTCCTTGTTTGAAAACAAATGGGCCAGTGTGATGCAGTAGTTAGAGTGCTGGACCACACAGCAAGCTGAGTGAACTTAGGCAACTGCAACTCTCAGCTGTCTCACAGGGTTGTAGTACTCTTTTATCCTCCATTCTTGAGAACATCAAGAAGGACTGAGCTGGTAGAGGCTATTGACACCATCCTGTGCCATTTTGCTTGATCTGCTCTCATTGAAGTGTGCAATTAATTGAGGAGGAGGAGGAGGAGAATGCTCCCTTTGAGTGTTCTAGCTGGTAAGAGTGTTTTTATCAGACTCTTTGCAGTTTGTTTGACTGTTTCACGACAGGCTCGAGTGATGGGAGCTGGTGATGGGGAGTGGTCAGGGTATGGGCAAGACTTCCCCTTTGGCTGATAAGAGCCAGCCAGTCACATGTTTGAAGCAGGTTGACATGGGACTCACAGGGTGGGGGCAGGGCGCCTCTCCTGACACTTAGAATTGCTGGTCAGGTTCTGGCAGGCCCCTCCCTTGAAATATTGCTTTGGGGAGGGGTTAGTTTAGAGAAAGAGCGAGTAAGAGGCAACATAATAGAAGTTTATAAAATTATGCATCACATGGAGAGAGTGGGCGGATAAAAGTTTTACTCTGGCTCTCAAAATGCTAGAACTTGCAGACATCCAATGAAGCTGAATGTTGGAAGATTCAGGATGGATAAAAGAATGTCCTTTCCTAATGCAGAGTTGAACTATGGCACTTGCTCCCACAGGAGGTAGTGATGGCCCTCAAGCTAGATGGCTTTAAAAGAGGATCAGACCGATTCATGGAGGAGAAGGCTTTGGTGGCCACTGGCTATGGTGGAGGCTACGCTCTGCTTCCATGTTTGGAGGCAGCAATGTCTCTCAATTCCACTTGCTGGAAATTGCAAAAGGAGAGGAGAGGGCTCTTGTGCTCGCATCCTGCTTGCTGGCTTCCCTTTGGGGCATCTGGGTGGCCACTGTGAGAATGGGATGCTTGACTAGATGGGCCATTGGCCAGATCTAGCAGGCTGTTCTTAGGTTCTCATGGGACAGCTGCTGAAAACCTATTTATTTTAGCAACCCTACCCAAAAATATAGTTTAGTTATCTATATTTGTCTTAAAGGTTTTGCCGATTTTACCTGTGCTTTTATTGATAGTTTTATCATGGACACATCTTTGTGAGTCTTCTGATTGACTGTTCTCTGACTTTTTAAAGTACAGTACTGAGATAAATAAACAAATCCTCTGCCTGCATTCTTAAAAGTACATTTCCCAGATTTATAGCTGCAGCGATCAGCTTGAAAAATGCATAACTAGCGTCAGGTGACATTTGGGAAGCTCTTGGGGGTGGGGGGACCTTCAATGATGATAAATGCATAATGGTGCTTCTGTATTCTCTGTGGATTTTCTTGTGTGTGTCCCTCCCACCTGACCATAGGCAAAAGCAAAATAAACAGATACAAAATTGCTCTGAAATTGCAGATTTCAGAGACTCTCCTTAGTGTAGAATTCAGGCACCTTGATGGCAAGAATGGAGATTTAATTGCTGGGTGCAACTTCCTTTGGACTCCCACTGGGAGGACTCTCATCCCAATCACCACTCAGCCATCAAGCACCCAGGATGAACTTGGGCCAGCCCTGCTTCCTCAGCCTCCTTTTCCTCGCAGGGCTGTTGTGAAGATAAAAATGGAGATAACGCTCCTGTGGATTATCTTGGCAGAAGGCAGGCTAGCATTCAAATCAATAAAATATAATTAAGTGCCTGGAGAACTGCAAAGGATCCAGCCGTGTTAAGAAACAGCAACAGACAAGCTCTCCTGACACTGGAAAGGGAAGCTGGCTTTCCGCTAATGAATCGGGAGATCCATCTGTTACTGGCTGCATCTGCGTATTCCATTCATCCATTAATTATTTTGAGTTACTTGTTAATCAGAGAGTGCCTGGTTGAGGTCCCTCAACACTGTTTCACAGGAGAGCAAGGAGGGGGAAAGGAGGAAAGGAAGGAAGGCATGAGATTCCCCCTCTCCACGTCTCTGAAACAAGGAGATACAATTACATGATTTCCGCCTGGGTTCTGGTGCTTCAGTTGGAGAGGTTGTCAGTGGGGAATAGAGGACAAGCCTTGAAAATGCAGAGCCAAGAAAGAAAGAAAAAGCTTTGCAATGCTGTGACATGAACTGCTCTGCCTTTGGGGAGAGATAATGGCATTAACAACTTCTGAACAGCAAAAAGCAGGCCTTCTATGGTGTGTGCATTCCAGCAACCCAGACTGTTCCTCTAAGTTGTCTCTGAATGAAGTTTCTGCTTGTCTGAACTCAGAGGCAAATCTGAGGAGAGCAGGCAGAAAAGAGGGGGGCAAAGAGAACCTGCTGTCTAAAACTAGGGAAGAACTTGAGGACTCTGAGAGGAAAGAAAAATCGATTTATATTGGCTAACTTGCTCATCAACAGCCCAAGCCATTTGCTGAACTGTTGGGTGCTACAGAATCTTCATGAACATTCTATTTCAGAAGAAATATGTTTGTTTTGAAAAGTTGGATAGTTGTAAAATCTTAAATTTCTAGATGGATCAGTTGTGCATGGAACTGAGTAGAAGGGGCACTACCCTAAAGTTAACCCTGAGTGATGTCCACAATCTGCTGCGAGGTATTAGTGCAGTCAGGAACAATGGATACAGTTTACTGAATCTGAAAACACTGCCGCTATTGTCCCAGTTGGACTAGTAACTTGCAGCTGGTTGTGGACACCACTCAGGATAAAGTCCAAAATTCCCATCCCCTCTAGTCATTTCCATGAGCAGCTTTTTGTCTGATCCAGTGGAACTGGGAGCTTGTACTCTGATCTTATACTCTTAAACAGGTGTGAGAGATGAGGAACGTTGGTGTTTAAACCTTATGATGAACCAAACACATAAGGGATTTGTATGCTAAACGGGGAGAGTAGAGACTTGCCTTTAATGTGTGGAGGGGGAGGAGTGCTAATGAAGTAGAATCTTACATAGATAATGCTGCACACTTCAAACATCCCATTCTAACTTCGCCACAACTTTGTTTACTAAATCTATGGGACAATCAATTGAAAAATTTCATCTCAGGAATTCTTGACATGGATGCTGGCCAGAACCTCAATTGCCCCCAAATAGAAAACCTTGCAGGACTTGGTGGGAGGGATGCAAAACTGAATTTCACACAATTAAAATAGCCAACGAATTATCCCATACTTTGCTGCTGGCAGCCTATATGGAGCTTAAATACCACATCAAATAGTGCCTTGTTTTCATCCGGTCAATGCCCAAAGAGAGCTACATTTTAGGGTGAGCCTTGGCTTGATTGACCAATCAGAATTCCCAATCTGTACCCAGTCATGTGTCTCAACTATCTCCCTTCCACCCGACACTGACACCCACAATTCACAAACATTCACAAACATTCAGATTGAGGGAAGAAGTTACTATGCTCTTGCAAAGATGTGCCATCTGACTCTAGGAAGGCAAGGCAAGACAGAAAGTTGTACCTTCACAGAGTCATTTCACACTCCCTGTGACAATATGGCTACACTAAGGGCACATTGATGTTTTCCATGGTCAACATGGAACAAGCAAAGCAAAGATGCACAACGCTAGATATGTAATAGGCATTTATCTGGGGTGCATCATGCACATGGCTGGTTGTGCCTCCCTGGCACACAGGTGTGTTTAATGCCTCAAACCCTAGTGTGCCTCTGGGGACCCCAAACAGGTGAAGCAGTGCTGAGAGGTGCAACTGGAGTCTTGATATTGAGCAGCCTTGACCTGGACAGTGATGACATTCTGTTCTTTCCTTGCAGGAGGAATCTTTGAATATACAGACGGCCCAAATGCCCAGATAATGAATGCGGAGGAGCAAGCCTTCCGATTCTCAGCAAACATTATCAATAGGAATAGAACACTGCTACCCAACACAACCTTAACCTATGATATCCAGAGGATAAGCTTCCATGATAGCTTTGAAGCCACGAAGAAAGGTGAGTATGGAACAAGTCCCTCTTTCTCCATAGTTTTTGGGTCCTGTCCAGTGAAGGACTTCATGGACAAGAACATTTACAGGTTGATGTGCTTGGTTGTTGTGGCTGAACTCGGGAGTTGTTGGGCTCTTTGATATGTCCTAAGAGCTCATGACCTAACCCCATTTCTGCTGCCCTTCCTCAGTGGGCCTGGTGTGTTATGAAATCCATGAAGAACATACAGGGTTTAGCTTTCTGTGGGAGATACATGGATGCCACCCTTGGGGCAATCATTTCTTGAAGTCATGTTAGCAGAGAGTGAGGTTGGCAGTGACTGGCTCAATATCACACCCAGTGATCTGCATGGGCTGAGTGGGGATTTGAACCCTGTTCTCCCATGTCCTAGTCTAACATTCTAACAACTACACCACAGGCAGAAAAATAGATGATGGGAACATGGTGTTGAAGAATGGAGAAAACCAAAGAGGAAGTTGAATGCAGGTCTAGAGATGGGAGGCGAGATTGACTAGATGACCCCTTGTGTCCCTTCCAACTCTACAATGCTATGATTTGGCCTGTTGACAGGAGGGAAGTGGGCAGGCCTGAGAAAACTAGAAAACTGAGCCTTTTGTGGGTAGAGGGGCTGGGCTCTGCCCTTGTAAGAGCACCAGGCACAGTTGAAGGGTTGTACAGAAAGAGAGAAACTCTGCCAATGATCGCTGCCATCATCAATTTCCAGCAAAAGTGGTCACCAAAGTGCCACATTTCTTTGCATTAGTTCTGCTTTATTGCTGAATCAGATTTCCACAGGAATTGAGCCTGGTGCCAAGAAGTCCTGGTGCCACAGAAAGCCTTGCTTGCTATCCTCCGTCCAGGCGACTAAACATCCAATATCCCAAACCTAATTAAAGCTTTTTAAAAAAATAAAAACAAAATATTATGTGATTCCATCTAGAGCTGAAGCTAATGGAATGTGACAAGTAAATAAGGATTAGGTTTTTTAAAACAAACAAACAAACAAAAACCATGCACACATAGCTTCGATTGAATATGGCTTCGATTGGTAGAACGGTACTGTTTTTCTTTTTGGGGGTAACATCTTTATTGAAAGTTCAAAAAGTACATAACCATACGTGCACCAAACGTGGTGAGACACAAATGAAAAAAGAGAGAGAGAGAGAGAAACAGAACCCGTGCAGAAGAGAAAACAAAGGGGGGACAAAACTGTATATTTTACAAGGTTGTTATTGTACTTCACCAGATCTTAACCCATTACAGTATTTGGAAGAATGGATTCCAAATATCATTGAATTTGTCCATGGCACTGTTACTGCTGCCGCATAATACCTGTTCCACGTTTGTAAGAACATGAACTTTTAGCGTGACAGCAGCTACACTTCGGAAATCCCTATCTATTGATATCAAGCAGGCACCTTCACTGTTTGTACTCTTTTTGGCACCTGATAAAAACAGTTTTGTTTCAGCAAACCTACCCAGATGGTTAGAAAGTTGATACATGTTTTAATTTGTTCTAAATCTGCTGTTAACTTTTCAAAAGTCTTAAATTATTGTTAATTTTTTTGACAATAATTTTATTGCTTGAGCATTTTTTGTAAATCTATTTGAATAATTTTTTAAAAAAATAATTGAGAGGTATATAAATATCATGAAATAATAGACAAAGTAAGAAAAAGAAAGCAATTATTGAGCCCACAGGTTTGCCTGTATCTCCCACACATTAATTGGCTTATTTGCCAGGCTACATTACTCACATTTCAAATGGGGAAATTTAATTTCCAGCTTAGAAATCCCTGTAACATTTCCATGGTTACACTTTTTTATTTTTATTTTTTTGGTTAGCTTGTTCCTAATTTTTGTTTCACAATGTGATGTGGCTAAGAACAAGTGACCTTGGGGAATGATGGGGATTTGTAATCTTGTGTTGACACATCTATGTTAAAAAAAAAAGTTAATACTGGAGTTTACTTTATTGTGGGTCACCACATTTTCAAACGTGTCTTTCTTGTCAACTTTGTTTCTGTTTTCCAGACTTGAGAAACTGAGGCTGGAGAATAGGGGCTTTGCCAAGTCTCTCCAGTTAGACCAGGGCTGAGTCAACATTTCAGCCTGGCTTGTTTTCTTCCCCCAGTTACAAACCTCCCTGAACAAAAGTACTCACCCTAAATTCTCTCATGAGGAAAAAGAGCTTCTTCTAGCTGCTCCTTTGTGTTTCAGTGCCTTAAAATTAATTTTGCACGTGGCAGCCTGAAAATTTATGGACCTAGCTGAAAATATGTGTTGCTCTTCCAGTAGAGCTCGTTGTAAATACCATAGTTTACTATGCCAGTGAGAACTGTGAATGGAGTGGGGAGACCCTTAGGATGCATCTGCTGTGTTCTTACAAGAGCAGAAGTGCATCATTCTGCTGCTCCTTTATTCAGGGGCTCCCAGCTACATGTCCTAGGAGATCCAGTGGGGCAACTGATTATCTAGTAACAACTGTGGTTTTCTAATGAGGAAGCGGGGATCTGTTGTTGTTGTTGTTGCTGCTGCTGTTACTACTACTACTTTTATTTATTTATTGCCTGCTCTTCAACCTAAGGTCCCAGGGTGGGTCACAACATTAAAACACACTATTAAAAACAAATTGAAACAACTTACAACCATAAAAATAAGGTGGGTCCTACAAGATGTACATGGTGTGTCATAAGCCAGGGTGAAAAGGTGCATTCTCCAAAAGCTGTACAATGAGGCTGGCAGACACCTCTGTGCGGAGGGAGTTCCACAGCTTAGGGGCCACCACAAAGAAGGTCCTCTCCCGGGCCACCCCACCCTGAGTCTCTGAAGGTGGAGAAACTACCAACAGGGTCCCCTCTGTTGATCTCAGCACCTAAGAGGATCTGAAGGGAAGGAGGTGGTCTTTCGGATATTTGGGGCCTGAGTAATTTGGGGCAACTTGAATTGGGCCTGGAAACAAACTGGCAACCAATTTTAAAACAGAGGTTATATGAGATTTAAATGGAACACCAGTCACAAATCTGACTGTTACATTTTTAACCGACTGAAGTTTCTGCGTCGTCTTCATGCACAGCCCCATGTAGATATAGGCTCTGAGGGTGGGATCCCAAAGAGAATTTATGACTCTATGATCATGGCTCTCTGTTTGGATCTCTGCTGAAGGTACTACAAGCCCTTCTGGGACAAGAGAACAACATTGCTCAACAAGAGGCAGGTGTCTTGGTGTCTTCTATACTTTTTGCCACTGAAGTTTCCTTAGACTCTCCCTTCTTCATGTTATCTTGGGAATGACATGTAAGCATCATGTGCAGCTTTTCTGAAGATTCATGCACAGTATGTCAAATCACTGGAAAGATGAGGGGGGATTTGTATGCTCAAGGGTTGAACTGGTTGTCTGCATCAGAGAGTCTGTGTGGGGAGGTGGTTAGAGTGTCAGACTATGACCTGGGAGACCAGCCTTCAAACCTTGGCTCAGTCATGAAACTCACTGGGTGTGGCCTTGGGCCAGTCACGCACTCTCAGCTCAGCCTGCCTCACAGGGTTTGGTGGGGATTAAGTGAAGAGGGGAAGAACCATGTGCAGCACTTTGAGCTCCTAGGAGAAAAAAGTAAGATATAAATGCAACAAAGGCAATGCAAATGCAAAATGCACTACCCCAATGGAGATGTTCAGGTCTTCAGTTCTGCCTTTCTTAATAGCCACTGTCAGGTGTTTGCCTGAAAGTCCAAAGGGGACTTCAAAGCATGCTTGACTGAAAGCGCATAGAAGCCTTCATGCAATCAGTAACCCTCATAAATCTCCTACATACAGGACATAGGGCTTGCATAAACCCTCCTGCTCCTCTACACGCTTTTAACCCTTGTGTTTTCAGGCAAAAGCCTGTAACGGCTCATGTAGGGTGGAAATCCCACACACTACATGGGCTGCTAAATCCATCACCAGTTGAATGACTCAGTTTTGTTTTGTCTTGTCAGTAAAATTCTCTGTCTAACAAGAGATGAAATATATTCTGTTGGCTTCCTTCCCCCACCAGCCATAAGCAAGCATCTTTTCCCTGGCGAAAGGATGATTAAACAAAATACTCTCCTAATCTGCTAAATGAAGGGCTTCGTCTGGCCTTGAGGATGAGCCCTCCATAAAAACAGGCTAAGTGGGAGGGTTGTGTATGCTGTTTCTCCAAAAATTATCCTAGAGCACACATTTCGGTGTGACTGATTAAATATGACTGGTCAGGGCTGCTTCAAACATTACAATACAATACATTACAAGTGAGATGTGTGCCTTTCTGTAGCTCACCCCATTAGCATGTGGGAGGGAGGCATGGCCTTTGACATAAGCATCATGGTCTGTGGTGGTATGAATAATAAGATCCTCAGGTGGGCTGAGTTGCTGGCTCAGTGAATTAGGGAGGCAATCTCCTGACACTGCCTTTCATACTGAAAGCCCAGATTCTTAATCTTGCAAGCTGCCTAATCGTGCAAATTGGCCTTTGACTCAGGCCAGCGTCTTTCTTGATCTCCTCTGGTTGTTTCTTCCCTTCTGCCTTGGTGTGAGTGATGGACTCAATCCCTTTCCTTTCCAGCCTGTGACCAGCTGGCACTTGGTGTTGTAGCAATATTCGGGCCTTCCCAGGGTTCCTGCACCAACGCCGTCCAGTCCATTTGCAATGCACTGGAGGTCCCCCACATCCAGCTGCGGTGGAAGCATCACCCTTTGGATAACAAAGACACTTTCTATGTCAACCTTTACCCGGACTATGCCTCTCTCAGCCATGCTATCTTGGACCTTGTACAGTACCTGAAATGGAGGTCAGCCACTGTGGTGTATGATGACAGTACAGGTAAGCAGGGTTAGTGGGAGCCCATTGGATTGGCTCTGGTGGGGACAAAGGGCCCTTGTTATGTTGCAGAAGCCTCTGAACCACACAGTGGCCTTCAAGAAACATGGGAGTCATCATACGTTGGGAGGCATTGACATGAAAATGGAAAATTGACCCAGTTATTCATTTTCAGACATTTTCTAAGTCACTTCATAGTGGCCAGAATGTTATTTTATTTCTCTCAGCTTGCTCACCACAGCTAACCAATCAGCTAGCAAATCATATAAAAACAAAGAACCACCTAATTGAACCCAGTCACAACAACCAAAGCATAAAAATAAAATTCCAAAGCAGGCATCAAAAATTTGAAGCCAAGTCAGCAAAGAAAGAAAAATCTTCCACCGAAAACTTCCTTCATAAAGCCAAGTCTTCACAATCTGCTGTTCGCTGCAGAATATAGACCAGCCTTCCCCAACCTGATGCCCTCCAGATCTGTTGAACTACAGCCCCCACTGGCTCCAGCCAGCACGGCCATGCTACAGTCCAAAGCATCTTGAGAGGACACCATGTTTGGGAAGAGGCTGATACAGAATCTCACCAAAGGATGTACAGCCTAGCCTGTGAAGTCTTGACAATCACAAATGAGTTGTTTGGCTCTTGATGGGACTATCCATTTTGTTGTTGTTTTTTGCATGTACTCTGTCATTCTCTGGTAAAAAAAAAGTCCCACACCCCACACTCTTCCTGCAGCCTGTCTCTCTTGGGAAAATGGCTTATCATACGCCATCTTTCCAAATGTGTATATGAAGATGTCCTAATCGAAGCCAGGCTGCTAGTCTTTCTAGCCCCCCTTTTGTCTGGGCTGCCTGATAGTCACTTTCCAAGGTCCCAAGCAACATAGTTTTCCATTCCCAGGAGCTGAAATCTTTTAGATGGGTTATGCTTGGATTGAACTAGATACCTCAACTGGGCTGGAACCTGTGGTTACTGCAGCTTGTTTTATTAGCTGTCTAAGTATACTTTCTTGGCTCTTGTTTTTTTGGTGGCATCTAATGGCTTCAGCTTTTGCCTTGTCAATTTCCTCTTTTTATAGTCTTTATTGTTGCAATCCACCTTGGATGGGTATTATCTGGAAAGGCGGCCCAGAAACATACTAAAATAAATTAATAAATTATGTGTGCAAAGCATCTAGTGTTACCCTCAGTGAATACCTGCTCAATGAACACAATACAAATATCTCTGGGAAGAGTATAATCAGGGCACCCTTACAACTCAGAATGACTGCCTCTTAAGTTACCGTATATGCTGCTCATTCACACTCACAAGGACATCCTCCCTTCCTTGTGTTAGAAACACAAGCACACAGCTCTGAATGTGTATGTGTTTCAATTCAGTCTCCCCATCCAGAGTGACGTGTTGCATCAGTTGGAAAGTATTTTGTTGGTTTGTCTTGTTGTTTTTTAAGGCAGAGAGTTTCTGGCTCCTGCAATATCATAATTGCGAGCAGCAGGCCAATGCTTTTCCATAATGGAATTAATTACCCCTAAGAAGTCAATTTGTCAAAAGTTTCAATTCCACTTGACCTTGAGAAGGTGGCTGACTGTGCACAGGGAGGTTTTCCACCATGAGATGTGTGGTGCTGATGCCGAATCCAGAGGATGCTGCTATGAGCCTGAGATGTTTCAAGGTTACCTAAAGGGATTTTAAACTCCAAAGGGATAATTCAAATGGTTGAGTTGTTGAAGCCACTAGGAAGAGTATACTCTGTATGCCAGCAATGTGAAAACACCAAAAAGCAGGCTTTCATATCAGGGGAGACTCCACAGGTGGGGTGGCATACAAGTTTGCTTACCACCTGGACCCCTTGGATACTTCTGTGTAAACACCTCACATTCCAGGGGGAAGTGGCCTCAGCTTATGACCATTTTGGGGGGTGATGCTCTGAGCACTTGTGTATTTGTGGCACCCCCTTTTCAGCTGATTCCCACATGCCCTTTAAAACTCTACTTTGAGGAGTGGAGGTTGAACCCCATCCAATTTTCCCTACAAGTGGACTAGCCAAGGGAGCTACTGATTCAGCCACCACCACAAAGTGGTCTTACCTCTGTGGTCTTGGCAAAGGGGTGGAGTGGGCAGGAGAAGATATGGGGCCTTCTACTGACTGATCTCTAAAATACTGTTAAGGTGTGGGGGGGACAAGGGAAAGGATCCCCTCACAAGTGGGTTTCTTGTTAAAAGTAGCACCATAATGGGGAGAAGTTCCTCTCCTTTGGAGCTTCTACAGGTCCTTCACCATCACCCAAGATGGTGCAGCCATTAGCTTTGCTTTCTGGAGATGGGTCGCTGCCTGGGCTTGAAACCTGTCTTCAGCTGTGTCTGGTGTTTTGTGGTTGTCCATGCTCTCTCCAAGGCCTCATCCGGCTGCAAGAGCTGATCATGGCCCCGTCGAGATACAACATCCGCTTGAAAATCCGCCAGCTGCCCCTTGACACAGATGACACGCGCCCCTTGCTCAAGGAAATGAAGCGGGGCCGGGAGTTCCGGATCATCTTTGATTGCACCCACACCATGGCTGTCCACATCCTCAAGCAGGTGGGTCCATCGGGTGGGTGGTGGTGCTTCTGGGCAGGTGCTCCCAGGCGGTGATCTAAGAGCTCCATCTGCAATTAAAAACCATGAAGCATCTTGCACTGTGCATTGCAATTGCGACACTATTCAGTGGTCTGCTAAGACCCTCAGAAAATGTCAAGTGTTTTTTGTTGAGTGGGGGCAGAGTTTGGGATCTGCTGCCTTAGAGAATGCCAGTATTATGTGGTGTCCAGAGCCTGGGTGGGTGGGGCTAGGACAAGCCAGTTCACTACATGGGCCAATACAAAGGAGGAGGGCGGTATAAAAGAACAGGGGTGAACATGAGTGAGAAACAGTAAAAAAAACAAAACAAAACAAAACCCCACAACAGCCCTAAGAAGAGCCCTGCTGGATCAGACCATCTGGATCAGTATCCTGTTCTCGAAGTGGCCAACCAGATTACTTTCTTTCAAGCCTTAGTACCCCACTTTTCTACCAGAATGGCTCCCAAAGTGGCTTACATACAATTAAGGGATGCAGGTGGCGCTGTGGTCTAAACCACTGAGCCTCTTGGACTTGCCGATCAGAAGTCAACAGTTCAAATCCCCGCAACAGGGTGAGCTCCCGTTGCTCTGTCCCAGCTCCTGTCAACATAGCAGTTTGAAAGCATGCTAGTGCAAGTAGATAAATAGGTACCTCTGTGGCGGGAAGGTAAACGGCATTTCCATGGGCACTGGTTTCCATTATGGTGTTCCGTTGCACTAGAAGCAGTTTAGTCATGCGTGGCCACATGACTCCGAAAGCTGTCTGCGGACGAACACCAGCTCCCTTGGCCTGAAAAGCGAGATAAGCCCCGCGACCCTTTGACTGGACTTTAACCATCCAGTCAACCGTCCTTTACCTTTACCTTTAACTTTACATACAATGAAAATGAGATGGTCTCTCTTTTTTGCACCAGAGCTTTCCCTGAGAAAACTCTCTCTTTAAAGCTCAATCAGAGAAATGGCAACCTGCAGAAAACCAGAATTGCTGTTTGCTCCAATTCAGCTTTAAAGAGCGCTTGGACACACAGCTTTAAAATGTGGACCTGTGCCTGGAAAGAGAGAGGCAAAAGGTAAGTGTGGATAAGGCCTCAGTCATGGGAGGCAGGGAGCTGGGTTCAAAACAACCAGCCAAATTTTTGGATGCAAGGCTAAGCTAAGATATACTTTAATTCAAACATCTGAATTCTGTCTGGAGGGTGGGCAAAGACCCCAGGGAGGGAAATTGTTTGCTTGCTGTTACTCTATTAAAACTATTAATGTACAGGGCAGAATTTTTCAGGGTCTTGCCACGCAAAAGAGAGCATAATGCTTGAGGTCGGCTGTCTCCCAAATGGCCTGGTTGGGCCTTTGGTGACCTCCCTTCTTCTGCAACTCTGTGCTGCTGCTCCAAAATTACTGTGAGATTTGGGCCTGGGAGGGATCATTCTGCAAATGGGTGAGCAGAACTGACATCTCCTGCCTCCTCTGATATTCATGTGCCGTCTGTGCTGGGCACTCTTCCTTTATTAGGCAGTTCTATTATCGTTCATTGTGCCCGTCTGCTCCATTCATGACGGGAGGAATCTGAGGGGTGGGGAGAGGGAGCAGGGGGAGGCGCAGCACAGCCTGGGAAAATCCTGTGTGGTCCTTCCAGGACACAGGCAGTTGGGGAATGTGCAGAGCTTGCCTGTGGCTCCACACAAATTGGAAGATACTGCAAAGTGGCACTTTAATGTGTTTGCATTGATATATCCTGCAGCGCCTGTTAGTTTACGTCTTTTCAAGGCAGTGGCTCCTTCTGCCTCTTCTTTGCAGAACAGGCTGATAGTGCATGGATTATTATTATTTTTCACTCATAGGATAGCTAGGGTGCTCTTGAGCATGTGCAGACGGCTTGGGGAAATCCTCAAATGTAGCATTCATTTGGAACTATGAGCTATTTTGCAGGAGGGAGGGAGCTATTTCTTCAGTTTGACATTTTATTAATTTATTGCATTTATATCCCACCTTTTTTCTCCAGGGAGCTCGAGACCAGGGTTCAAATTCCCACTTCGCCCTGAAGCTCCTTGGGTGACCTTGGGCCAGTCACTGACTCTCAGCCTCACCTACCTCACAGGGTTGTTGTGTGGATTAGATGAGCAGGGGGAGAACCATGTAGGATACCTTGAGCTTCTTGGAGAAAAAGGTGGGATATAAATGCAATAAAAAATAATAGTAATAGTAATAATAGCCACCAATTCAGCCAAGGTGACATTTGGAATCCCCACCACCAGAGTTTTGGTCTTTCTGTTCCTATCCTAGCTCACCTTATTGATATACTGAGGAGTAACATCAGAGGCATCAAAGCCCATCTCTTACTTCTGAGTCCCAATTCAGTGATGTGCACAGATGTTACAGGACTGCACCTTCATAAAGGCTCTCTGGAGCCGGCCGTGAGTGGCCTCTTTAAAGAGAGATGCATGCTGAACAAGTCTAACCGTGCATGACCAGCTCACCCCATGCCCAGATTAGCCTCAGTGTAGTCAGCTGACACTTCAGCGCATGTTAGAGTCATATGGCTGGTCCCTTCCCTCTGCATCACTGATTCAGAAATCAGACCTCTTGGGTCTTGCCCCCACCAGCAATGACATCCTGGTCAGATAAAGGATGGAAAGGAAAACAGAGGTATAGCAGACTCTCTGCTGTGCTTTGTGGTTTCCCTCCCTCCCTCCCTCCCTCCCAGTGTCCCCAGTTTCCTACTTCTCTGCAAACTGCTCCATTGTCCCTCCAAGCAAAATTCTGCCCTAGTAATTTCAGCAGAAGCAGCACAAAAACCAGGAGGCCCTCTGGCTAGAGAGTGGCGGGATGGGAGGGGGAGGGTGCTGTCAGTCAGGCTGGAAATCATAGCATCCTCGAACACCTGCTTTCAGTGACAGCAGTTCAGAGGTATGGCAAAAAGAGAGAGGACTGTGTGCGGTTGTGGAGGGACCCTTCGTCAGGCTAACACCCTGGCTCCTGCCTTTCCACTTAGCAGAAGCAATCTGGGAACTTGGCTTACAATAAACCTGCATCAGGAGAGGGTGGGGGTTGACTGAATCAATGCCTGGAGTGCCAGCATCAATGCTGCTGCTGCCTCTTGGGCCTCTCTGCACCATTTTCAGCCTCTCAGCTGGAACTCTCAGCCCAGCAAGGCTAAGCAAGAGTGTTTCCGCTCTTCTAACAATCTTCATGCCTCCCTTTATCCCCCTCCACCAATTCTTGCCATCTCCAGACTTTCCCCCTTCAGTCCGTCTCCTCCTCTGCTCATCTCAACTGTTAGGTTCCTGCCAACAGCCTTGTCCTTTAGCACTCATAGAATCATAAAATTGTAGAGCTGAAAAGGATATCAAGCGTCATCTAGTCCAACTCTTTGCAATGCAGGAATCACAACTAAAGCATCCCTGACAGATGGCCATCCAACCCCTCCCTGCTTGAAAACATCCTTTGACCACCTTCCAAGGGAGCCCACTCCACTCTAAAACAGCTCTTACCACCAGAAAGGTCTTTCTCATGCTTAGTTGGAGACTTCCTTCTTATAAGTTGAATCCATTGGCTCAGCTCTTGCCCTCTGAAGCAGCAGAAAGCAAGCTTCCTCCATCTTTCATGTGACAGCCCTTTAGATATTTGAAGATGGCTATCCTATCACCTCTTAGTCTCCTCTTCTCCAAGCTAAACATACCCAACTCCCTCAACCATTCATCATACGGCTTGGTTTCCAGACCCTTGACCATCTTGGCCACCATCTGCACATGTCCCAGCTTGTCAATATTCCTCTAAAATGTTGGTGCCCAGAACTGAACATAGTATTCCAGGTGTAGTCTGACCAAGATAGAATAGAGTGGTACTATTAGTTCCCTTGACTGAGACACTATACCTCTGTTGATGCAGCCAGGAATGGCATTAGCTTCTTTTGCTGCTGCATCACACTGTTGACTCATCACAACTGATTCCTGTTAAGCTAGATCCTTTTCACACATACTACTGGCAATCTAGATGCCCCACATCTTATATTTGTGCAGCTGGTTCTTCCTGCATAAATGTAGAGCCCTGCATTTGTCCCTTTTGACATTCATTTTACTGGTTTGGGCAAAAGTCCTGCAATCTGTTAAGGGCATCTTGAATTCCGATTCTGTCTTCTGTGGCATTAGCTATCCCTCCCAATTTGGTGCCATCTGCAATTCTGATGAGCATCCCCTCAATTCCTTCATCCAAGTCATTTAGAAAGACGTTAAGCAACAATGGGCCCAGGACAGACAGAACCCTGTGGCACCCCACTTGTCACTTTTTTTCCAGGATGACGGGGAACCATTAATGTGTACTCTTTGGGTTCGGTCAGTCAACCAGCTGCAAATCCACCTAACAGTTACCTCATCCAGCCCACATTTTACCAGCTTCTCATAAAATAAGTTTATAAAATTATGCATGGCCTGGAGTAAGTGTATAGAGAAAAGTTTTCCTCCCTCTCTCATAATACTAGAACTCATGGACATTTCAACGAAGCTGAATGTTGGAAGATTCAGGACAGATAAAAGAAAGGACTTCTTCACACAGCACTGAGTTAAACTATGGAACTCACTCCCACAGGAGGCCGTGATGGCTGCCAACTTGGGTTGCTTTAAAAGAGGATTTGGTAAATTCATAGAGGAAAAGGCTATCAGTGACTACTAGCCATGATAGACACTATGCACTGCCTTCATGGTGGAAGGCAGCAATGCATCTGAATACCAGTTGCTGGAAACCACAGGAAAGACCTGAGTACTTTTGTGCTCAGGTCCGATTTGCAGGTTTATCAGAGGTATTTGGTTGGCCACTGTGAGAAGAGGATACTGGACTAAATGGGCCTTTGGCCTGATCCAGTAGGCTATTGTCATGTTACATTCTTATGGGAACTCCTCCCAAGCCTCTTGGCAACCCTCAGCCACCCTCTTCTATCCTGGTCCCCTTCCTGCACACGCCTCCCCCTGCCCCTAGTTCTGACCAGATCCAGGGTGTGCTGATCCAGGAAAATTCTGTTGCAGCTTCTTTCAGAATAAAACTGCATGATTTCACAAGCAGTCACTGAGGTTTCTTTAAAATGAGTCTGTCAGCAGCACCATTGTCAGATGGTGGGTTGTCCATCCTCTGCTGCACAAATCATCAGCAGTGCCATAGATGTGCTGCATCTGGGGGCTTTTCTGCAGCAACCTTTTCTTGCTAGCCACTGCAGTGATGGATCTTGATTCCAATCCACCCATTAAGCTCCATCCCTCTCCTCCTTGGAAACGCTGAATCTTTTTGTGGGCGCCAGCAGCAATGTTCCTTCCCAGGCTATATCGGCAGCATTTTCTGCAACCTGCCAGGCACTTTCAATTTGTACTAATTGATTTGATGTCATTGACAAATACAGGAGAACAGCTTTTGTTCCCATCCCCGGTCACCCTCTCCAGCTCCCAACCACACACTTACCTCTGCAATTTAATTTGACCATTGAAATATTTCTAATTAGAGTTTCCAAGCACTGAATACAATCCTCCTTCTGATGACTGAGGGGTCCACTCCTGGTTGTTTATTACTTAATCAGCTGTGTGTGAGAGGGTGCATGTTAAAGGCCCACACAAAACAGAGGGAATCAAAGCTAATTCAGATCTAACAAGTTGAAAGCTCCTTTCCTTTCATCACACTTTCTATGAAGCTTGGGATTTATTGGGGGGGGTGTATATATGTATATATAGACTTTGTACCTTTGCAGTCATCTTAGATCAGAAAAAATGTGTTGGAAAGGGAGAGAGTATAAAACAAAATCCATGAGCTGGTCTCCGTAGCACATCTTTAAGTAGCTAGGCTAATTCAGGTGGGTCTATCAGGCAGCACCTCTTGGGGTTTATTTATTTCAAACTGACCTTGTGCCAGAACTGTAGCCCTTGAGCAAGACCACAGCTGGCAGGACAAACCAGAGGATCCAGTAAAATAGATAGACAGATAGTCTGTAAAGGTACATTACAGCATCAGCAACATATGTTAAACAAATAGTGAAGAGTTCAATTTTCATTCTTCATGTCTGCCTCAAAGATAATAGCTTGTCCAGGAAGCATTTAACAGAATAGTTGTGTTATAAATCAGGTGAGGACATCACTCCCAACAGACATGTGTGGGAATGGGGGCTGGGTTTGGGACCCTCCTTTATTGACCTATGTGACAAACGGTAACCACATTTCCAGAAAGCACTTAATAATTTTCCTGTGAGCTGACTCTGATCTGCTCATTGCTTCCCGCCCAAGCTATTTTCCAGATCTTTGCAAATTGAATTGCAACATTCATCTAGGGCAGACTTTGCCAATTTGGTGCCCCCCTCCAAGATGTGTTGAACTACAACTCCCATAAGCCCTGGCATCATATGGCAGTGCTGGCTGGAGTTGATGGGAGTTGATGTCCAAGACATCTGGAGGGTGCCAGGTTGGCAAAGGTGATTTAGGGTTTTCCATTGTTTAGCTCTCTCCATTCTGGCAGCTGCTATTGAAACATAATATATAAAACTGTTCCTGGGAATCTTTAAATAAACCTAGCAAAGTGTCTATTTTAATTGAACACTGAATTCTGAACAGTGAATCCACAGAGTGCACTGCTGGGGCAAATGACTCATCAAGGCACTTACTCATGCCCAGAGGTGAAACACTTTCTGCTAGAAGCATTTTAAAAGGAAGTTGAAATTCTCAGGATAAAGTGGAATCTAGCACCCAGGAGGACCACACTTGTTCAGAATTCTAGGATATAGGCAGGCCTGACAGAGGAGCTGACAACTAAGTTCAGTCTGAACTCATGGACATCCAATGAAGCTGAAGGCTGGAAGATTCAGGACATTTTTGCACAGTGCATAAAGGATAGAATTCGCTCCCACAGGAGGCCGTGATGGCCACCAGCTTGAGTGGCTTTAAAAGAGAATTAGACAAATTCATAGAGGAGAGGGCTACTAGCCACAATGGCTGTGCTTTGCCTCCACAGCTGGAGGCAGCAATGCTTCTGAATACCAGTTGCTGGGAAAGTGCTCTTGTGCTTGAATCCTGCTTGTGGGTTTCCCTTTGGGACACCTGGTTTGCCACTGTGAGAATAGGATGCTGGGCTAGATGGGCCATTGGCCTGATCCATCAGGCTCTTCTTATGTTCTTGTGAGTGAGTCAGTAGCCAAACCTGGGAGGCTGGATTGCCAACAAGTGGGGGTCAAGGTTTTTAGGGTTCTGTTGCTGTGAGTCCCAGCATTGAATGCCCTGTGACAAAGGGGGAGTTGTCGGTTGCCTTGGGCCTTGAGAAATTGCATTCCCAGACACCAAAGTGTTAAAGCTTCCAGAGGCAGACTTTGGGCTGTGCGAGCAGTGTGCACATGCACTGGGCAATGGGCCAGGGGGCGCCACCTCAAAGCTCAGTAAGTGAGGCACTGGGCTTTGGGATGGAGGAATGAGACTCTGATAGGGTCCTAGAGTCCTCCTGCCTTCTTCCCAAAGCCTAGTCAATGCTTTCACAGCCTCCTTCACAAAGCCCAGTGCCTCCTTACCCTCCTTTGGTAAGGCAGCACCTCCTTCCCAAAGCCTGGCACCTCCTTACCTGCCTTTGGGAATGTAGCATGAGTGTGTGTGTGTCAAAGTTTGGCCTCGCATGGGGTTCCAAAATACCCAAGTCAGCCACTGAAGCTGCTAAACCTATTTCCCGCAAGGCTCTGTGGGCTCATTCTTTCTGTTACAAATTCACATGCTGTATTTTTAATTAACTTTTCATTTGTTTTCTTCTCAGGCCATGGCAATGGGAATGATGACGGAGTACTACCACTTTATTTTCACCACACTGGTAAAGTATCTCGACCATACACCAGCCTTACTGCCCTTTATTGGTATCCACAAAGGAGGAGGGGGGGTTACCTGCTCTCTGGCTCAAACTGCACCAGCTAAGTTAGGAAGAACCATTTTTTAAAAAGAGAGAAAAGAACAGTAGTGTCCAAATCAAATGAATTACTAGCACCACTCTTTTCTGCCTTGGTCAGACCCCACCTGGAGTCCTGTGTCCAGTTCTGAGCACCACAATTTAAGCTGGAAGGTGTGTAGAGGAGGGCAACCAAGATGACCAAAGGTCAGGAAACCAAGCCTTAAGAGGAATGCAGGAGGGTGACTAGCTCTTACCACCAGAAAATTATTCCTAATGTTGGGTTGGAATCTTCTTTATCATAACTTGCCTCCATTGGTTCAGGTACTACCCCCTGGAGCAGCAGAAAACAAGCTTGCTTAATCCTTCATATGGCAGACCTTCAGATATCACCTCTCACTCGTCTCTTCTCCAAGCTAAACGTACCCAGCTCCCTTCCATAGGAGTGGGCAAATAACACAGAAGGCTCAGTTTTGAAGTGTGCAGAGCAAGCCCACTGTAGAGCAGGTGGGAAATCCTTGCCTCTGCCTGCCATCTTGCTCTCTCCTCTCTTCATTTCTTTAATAAACTCCTCTCCTGTTGTCATGGAACTCAAGGCCACACACCTGGAATTCCTTCCTGGATTGCCTCCCATCCAGGTCCTGGACAGACCCCCAGACCTCCTTAGTATTAGCAAGAATGATGCTCCACACACTCTCAGACCATGTCACAGAACCAGATAGCACCCCTCCCCCCAAAATAAAATCACATCCCTGGAAACATCCACATTTAATTTTTTTAACATTCCATCCTTCCACCAAAATGAAAAGACATTTTAATTACTGCTGCCACCGTTATCTATTTGCAACAGCTTCTCGCAACTCCCTGATAACCTCCTATTAATCAGGCCCAGCTGAGTCTTGTGAACTTTTTTTTTGCACACAAGTACAAGCCTGGAGGTGAAGATGAAGAAGGAGTGTGTGGGAGGGGGAGAGAGCAAGAAAGAATTATAATAAATTAATAGATAAGCAATTACAATTAGTGCCACTTCCCTGAAATAACAGCTGTATCGTGGGACAGATATTTTAAGCAGCTGCTGCTCCAGGCTCTGTTCTCTTTGGAGCTGCCATTTCTGCCATAAGAGGCCCCTGGGAGGGGGGATGGAATTAGTCTGTTGTGTTTCTCTAAAAGGTCCCCAGTGGACCCTGCAAGCAATACAGGTCGACATTAGACAAAGGTAAGGGAGCAACTGTTCCTACCAAACAGAAACGTTGAAAGTGTAGAGCAGCCTTCACTAAGCTGGGGCCCTTTAGCTGTTTTGGAGTATAAGCCATCAGACTCAGCCAGTACAGCCATAGGATACTGGGGCTAATGGGAGCTGTAGTCCAAAACGTCTAGAGGGCACCAGTTTGGGGGATGCTGGTGTGTAGCCCTGCAGAGGATCATCCTGACTCTGACTGTTTGAAGTGGTATTGTACTGCTTTAAATGTACAGCGCAGATGGGACCTGCCTCAAGCAACTGCTCATTGTTGTGACTATTTATGTCCCATAGCCACAGACACACACAAAAATGTAATCCTTTGGGGATGTGCAAGAGGTACTCTTGACAGCAGAGTATCATGAAATGGTAATTAATTTATTAATAGCTGTTAGGATGGAAGAAGCATCAGGTGAAATCGTGAGAACAGAAGGAAATAAGAAATTAGGAAATAAAAGAACTAGAATATGTTGTTTGTGAACTTTTGAAATGTGCGGTTTTTAATCAAAATATTTATGTGACACTGTTAAGATTTTTGATTCATGCTTTGTGAAATGAGAAAATGGATTGTGATCCAACAGAAGGCAATACAAAAATGTAAGCAACAGCCAATGACTAGCCACAAAACGCAAACAGCTTTGGCTATAGACCTGCCTGGAAGCCCCAATATTTCACCCTCTGTATTTTCCTTCTGATCGTGCACATCTGTATGTGTGCCTTAAAGAAATGTTGCAGCTGGTATCAGCATTGGCTGTGATTAGAGATGGCTCAGCATTTTCAATCATTCTCCATTTACATTCAGAAAAAGCTCACCAGCTTTCCTGGAGCTCTTTCCTAACTGATCATGTGTGGTGATGGTGCTGGGTCCACGTGTACCATCAAGTTGCTTCCAGGGAATTGTGGTTTGGGGCCACATGTATGGTTGATCATGCAGTGAATGTGGATGGTTCAGCACCCTGCCCCAGACACGCACACCCAGTTTGCTTATTCATGCAGCAGAGCCTTGTTTTATAAATCACATGCCATTTAACTAGCTCATGTAGTTCCACAGCAATCAATACAAGCTAGCTTTAAGTGCCTGGTCCATTGACTGCTGGCTGAGCTTATGCAGAATCTCATTTAACATTCCAAGCCAGATGAGAACTTTTGAGGGGAATGGCACTCAAGTTGCAATACAGCTGATTGAGACAAGTTCCAGACAAATTCGTATTTGAAAGCCGTTGTGGGGTAGTGGTTAGAATGTCAGACTAGACCCAGGAGACCAGGGTTTGGATCCCCACATTGCCACAAAGCTGTGCTAGGCACTGCCTCTCAGTCTAAACCAGGCTTCCTTAATCTCGGCCCTCCAGATGTTTTGAGACTACAGTTCCCAGCATCCCTGACCACTGGTCCTGCTAGCTAGGGATCATGGGAGTTGTAGGCCAAAAACATCTTGAGGGCCACGGTTGAGGAAGCCATGGTAGTTGTGGAAATTAAATGAGGACCGTTGAAATGAGGAGTGAAACCAGTCAGGGCAAAGTCAAAGTGAAAAAGAATAGTGGAGCTGATTTTAATTCAAGAGTTTCCAAGTTGTTTCTTTGACCAAGTGGCAAAAGTTCTGGTCTGAGCCCAGGGGTGGGGGCAGGGTCTGAGTTAGCCACCAACAAGTGAAGACTTTAGCCCCCACCTGTGGTTCCTGATTACTGTATTTGGGAAATGTCTGGTGGAATGATTAAATGAGGAGGGAAAGAACCATGTGTGCTACCTTGAGCTCCTTAGAGAAAAAGGTGTTATATTAATCAAACAAGCAAGTAAGCCAGCCAGCAAGCCAAACCAGGTTAATTCTAACCTTGGCACCATCAGTAGCTATGGCTTTTGTTGAAGCTGGGAAATTGTGTGTGTGTGATTCCTTGCTAATTCCCTGGGCTCTGCCTTAGATTGGCTCACAGGCCAACCATTCACTAGCATGAGATACAGGTTTAAAAGAACTTCTCTTTACAGATGTTTCTAGTGCTGTTGTGTCCTCCCAGCCAAATGTTAACTGGGATGCTGCTGAGTGCCATTTCCTTTCCCTTCCATTGAGGTCAGCTGTTCCTGCTCCTTCCTGCGAAGCAGAGCAACCGCCTCACTCACCTCTCTTTCAAGCCCCATTTAGATGAGTTTGTGGTAGGTTTAAACTGCAGACCTCCTGAAGTGCAGACCTCGCTTTGACGGCAGGAATTAATATTCCAGCTCTGCTCTGCAAAGCCCTGGGAAGTATTAAGGAAGTGCACTGGAGTGGGACTTGCAAATGCCCCCTGTGCACACTGACTGCCAAGAGGCAGGCCTGGGCTCCCTGCCAGCACTTTGCCTGAATGGTTCCCATTCCACCTCTCCTCCACTTATTGCTCTCTCACTTGCAGACAGTGGAGGTGGATCATAAAGTCAAGAAACATCTTAGCTCCTCTTTGATGGTGGTCTTCAAATACTGAGCACTCTAGCTGTTGGCACTGACAGCCAACAGGCTACTAATTAAACAGGGCCAGCCCACCCATGAGGCAAGGTGTGGTGACCACCTCAGGCAGCAGAATCCACAGGGGCAGCAGATCCCAATTTTGATCTTTCTTCCTTCCTTGATCCTGGTATATCTCTTCTTTCACCCCTTCTTCCCTAGTAGGGAGAGAGTGCCATTTTGGGGCCCTCTGGTGTCAAAATGTATTTGGGCTGCCCCTGCAATTAAATAAAAATAAAGAAAAGTCTTTTGAGGACTTGAAGGAAATTCTTCCTAACATTGTAATGTGTATTGGTCTCAAACTGGAAGATGTCCAAGAGCACATCTTCCGACTACAAGAGGCTCCTGTCAGGCAGAAATGGAGGATTCTGGGTCAGGGGACCAGGCCTGTTTGTAGAAGTCTGAGATGATCAAGAGAAAAAATACCAGATTTTTCTCTCTCCATCCAGTTTACTGAATGTAAGATGAGAAACTCTGGGTTGTACATGTGGGAAGTGGGTGAAAATTTGGTGATCCAGTCAATGCTCGCACTTCTCCTGCCAGATCCTGGCCAATGCAGTGATGCTAACTGGGTTCCCCCAAACAAGGTTCAGATTTGCTCATCAGCTGTCCAGTGGGACATAGAGTAAGGATTAACCAGTAAAACCCACAGCCTGAGAACTGGAACTGGAACAAATCACTCAGTCTGTTATTGTACAATGGTTAATGATATTCTAAAATGATAATATCTGGCGGAGATGTGGTGTTCTGCGTGATGTTCTACATGCAATGAATGGAAAATTTGCAGTGGGCAAATTACTCCTGTGTCCCACTGCGCATGCAGATCCTACCTACTCTTAGAGGGGTGGGCAGTCTAAAAGACCAGAGATGGCACAAATCTGAAACAGTCAGTCATTTTCCCATGGGCTTTGTGTTTCTCTCATGAATAGAATAGACTGCCATTTTAGACTGAAGCATCATCATTGCCAAGGTTTATTTTGGCTGCTTGTGGCTTTGAGAAAATTTAATTGTATGCTTACTCTACCTCTCCCCGCACTTGAAAAATTACAAGATGGTGAAAATATTAGCAATACTAGTATTCCAGAATGATGGGTTTTGATGCTTGGAAGTGGCAACTATAACAAGATTTAATGCCATACTTTCCAAATTATTTCTTTCCCCCCCTTTCAAACATTTTCAATATTCTCTTATTGGAATTAATGCATAATTAATCAGCACCATAATTAACTGATGCAAGACAGGGAAATGCCTCCCAGCTGGGAACACCATTGAATCTTTTCCTAAAGCAACATTGGAGGACCAACTTCAGTGGGAATTTACTCAGGCAGAGCAGCTGTTGAATTTCAAGGGGAGCCAAGTTTCAATAAGAGTGGTGAAGTGTCACAGAGGACTTGGCCCCCCTTTGAAGACTGCCCCTCCCTCCCAAAAAAGAACTAAATGAAGTCAAGGGGGAAGTAGATAAAGCACTGAAATGAAGTCTCCCTCTTTCTTTTTAAAGGATCTTTATGCATTGGATCTAGAGCAATATCGCTACTCTGGAGTGAACCTGACTGGCTTCCGCATCTTGAACGTGGAGAATCCCCATGTTTCTGCCATCATTGATAAATGGTCTATGGAGAGGTTGCAGGCAGCCCCCAAGCCTGAGCCAGGGTTGATCACAGGGGTGATGATGGTACGATGGCCCATTTAAACTACTCCTGCCTTTTAGTGTGTGGTGCAAACCTGTGTTGATGAGGGCAAGAGGCAAGGGAGTTTGCATGTCAAACTGTTGCAAACTCTGTTTTTGTCTGGTTCTGTTTTGGACAACGTGTTGGGAAGACAAAGCAGTTGCTTCTCTGTGGGGGGCAGTTAACGCAATCAGCTGTGAATCATCAGCAGAACTACACCTTACACATGAATGCATGTCACAAAATCTTGACAGCAGCTTCTATGGAATAGGTGTTTTGGGAGGAGGCAATTTAGAATAAAGAAACTGCAATGGGATACAGTGTTTCATCCTTCCCCCGCTCACTGCCTTCCCTTTGCTGCTGCTACTCCTGCCGCTGTAGGATTCCAGATGCATGATCTTGACAGAAGGCCATTCAATGATGTCCATGTAAACTGGACCAGAGACTACCAAGATGGAAGTAGCAGCATGCTGCAGATGGCTCAGTTGACCTAAGGAGGCTGGAACCAAAGACTATTTTGGCCAAAATGGATTTCCTATAGTGGAGGTGGCATGATCATCATCATCACTTGGGAGGTGAAAGGCTCCCTTGCTCCTAGAGCTGTTATCAAAGCAAATCCTGTTCCCCTTCATTTTAGACAGATGCTGCCCTGTTGTACGATGCCGTCCACATTGTCTCCGTGTGCTACCAACGGGCTCCACAGATGACTGTCAACTCCCTCCAGTGCCATCGGCATAAAGCCTGGCGGTTTGGTGGACGCTTCATGAATTTCATCAAAGAGGTAAGAAGTACAATGCATCCGGATGGAACCTGCTTTTGCATCTTGAGTGAAGGGATGCATGCTCAATGCTGCAGAATTGCTGTCTATGGTCCTGAAATTCTTGCATTTGCATCCTGGGCAATCTTCATTGTTGCTGTCCATGGTCCTGATCTCACTCTAGCAGAAAGCCAGCTCGGGTGATTCTGAGCCTGCATCTTTGCATGGGCCATTGCCTCTTTCTGGAGGCAAAGATTGCTTTGAATTAGGCAGGTGGTGGAGATGAGCCTAAGCCCAGTAACAAGTCATAATTAGCTCCAGGTGCACGTACTTAGCTTGCAGAAAAGCCTAAATTCAATCTCAGCCATCCCCAGATAGAGTGGGTTGGGGGTACAGACACACACCCTGACATTCTGGAATGCCACTGCCAGTTTGAATAGACAGTGTAATTAGTCTAGACAATACCGTGCTCAATGAGTCTGACTCTGAATGCATTTGTGCCAGTGTCGCTTCTAATCCCATCTGGCACCTTTATTTTGAGAGACAGCTGCCCATATTCTTCAGGAGAACCCAGGACTAAGCATACATATGTAAAATACCAGTCCTCTAGGCTGGATCACAACCAAAGGAACATGATTTATCTTAGGGACAGAGGTGAAACAAGAGTAGAACAAGCTTCAGTCTCTGCAACGCCTAGCCATGGCTGGTGCTGAGCCCCCAACTTCTCTATCTCTCTACCTACCTATATAAATGTACAGATTAGGGCTCTTTGCTTCCCCTTCCAGCTGCTAGACACACCATGTTTTTGCCTTTCAAAACTTTGACAATGCCATAGATGGCTTCACTGAAGATCTCTCTGGCAAATCCTTTTAATAGAAATGTAGGAAGCTGCCTTATCCTGAGTCAGAGCCTTGATCTAACTAGCTCAGTATTGTCTACACTGACTGGCAGCTGCTTTCCAGAGCATAAGACAATAGCCTCTCCTAGTCCTACCTGGAGACACCTGGGACCTTCTGCATGTAAGGCAGATGCTCTGCTACTGAGTTCTGTCACAAAGAATGGTGGCCTATTGTCACATGAACTTACAAAACTTATCTGTACTGAAACAGACTCTTGGTTTATCTTACCCATAATGCTCTACTCCGACTGGCAGCAGCAGGTCTCCAAAGTCTCCTGGAGACTTCTTTCCCACTCCTTCCACCTGAGATGTTTTCCAAGGGAGTTGCCGGGGATTGAACTCGGGACCTTTGGCACACAGCACAGGAGTACTTCCGCCAAACTATCAGCCTCCCCTCTATCCCCGGTATTTTTCTCTGTCAAATAGGAACACCATCTGCTGCCTTTCCTTCCCACCTTTCTCTCTTGTTGAGGAGTGTTTACTTGGTGCATCTGTCAACCACTTAGTGAACAGCTCAAAAACTCTCGTGGGAAAATTGGCAGCAGGCACGCCTCTGTTTTGGCAGAGCCACAGACTTGAGTGAGCTGAATGTCAGGGGAATGAAGTGGGGACTTCATTTTTCTCTGTGTTTTGGGTAATTACCATCTCCCTCGCCTGCAGCCTAAACAGCTTTCCTGACTGCATTTGGCATGCAGGGAGCATCACTTGGATCCAAGAGGCAGAGAAGCCAACTGAGTCTCCCCATTGCAAGAGGCCAAAGCAGGGATGTTTGAACTTCCCAGTACACACTTCGGGGAGATGTTCTCTTGGAAAATAAACCATGCAAAGAATTTGTATTTATTTTTTAATGGTAGACTGCCACTCCCTTAAAAATGTGTACTGCTGGAAGAAATCATCAAAAGGCATCACAGCCATAGGACCTCTGAAAGATTCCAATCACCAATTTTGAGTGGTTTTGTGCAGAGTTCTCAGAGTTGGCAACCTGGCTACCTCTGTCTATGGATTCTGGCATGATTCAAGCATACAGCCCCCCATCACTGGTTGTCAACAGAGACAGGAACAATGGGAAGCCTTGTTGACTTACTTGGAGCCTGTCAAACTGTGGAAGCAAATTATGCTGTTGCAATGGAGATCCTGTGCTGTTGGCTGGCCTCTCCATTACCCTCCAGCATCACCATCTCAACTTGACTTTTTGATTGGCAAGGGGGCCTGAAAGTGCCCAATCCACTGAACATCTTGCCTGGGTCATGCCTCCAGTTTCCAGGCCAGAGAGTTGATTTACAGGTTGCGTGTATGCACAGGTGCACTTTTGCAAGTTTGTCTTGTATAAACATTCCCCTAGGTGGCATAAATGGCATGGGGCTGAGTGGGAATGCTCCTAGATGTGCTATGAAAAGCTGGTGTCCGCATCTCAAGAGGTGGCAACTAGAGCGACTGATACTAGCCTGAAGCTTTAGGTAGGAGTGGGTGAGACTGGGCAGGTCATCAACCTCCTAAATCACCAAGGAAGCTGAGGAGCTTCCATCTCACTGAGGAAGAGGCTGGTGCCTCATTCAAGTGATGCTCAGCAAAGACCTTCTGGAGAGCAGCCAAGCACCACTGAATGAGGGGAGGCCAGCTGACCTCTGGTCCCAGCTCTCAGTTCCACTTCACCTGTCACCCTCTCTCTCAAGGTGCATCGCTCTGAGTGATCTCCTGTGACTAGAAATGAGAGATTCACAGCTCAAGTGTGAGCAATTACCATGAGAACAACAGAGACACAGAGAAGCTCTGGAGTGCTATTCAGGTTGCCAAGGAAGAGGTTGAGGGTTGACCTTGCTATTATGCATGTGGAAATTAGAGGCACTCCATGGCAGTGTTTCTTTTGAGCCTTGCAGACAAAGACAGAAGAAGAACAGAAGCCCAGGAGTTCATCTGTGTAAACATGTTGGCCTCAAATTAAAGTCTCCTTCCTTCCTAATAGTGCAACCGACTACAGCAGACTGCTGCTCTGCTTGCCCTTTTCTCTCACTTCACTCAAGTTTTATGGAATATCTACACCAGTGGTTCCCAAACTTTTTCAGGCCACAGCCCCCTTGCTTCCATAAACTCATCCCCAGAGCCCCCTACCCTATAAAAAACATTATTCAGAATAGCAGTTTGCATAGCTCTCTAAGGAATATAGTAACACAGTAAAATTCAAAACAGTAACAAGTAATTGCACATTTATTCAAAGCCTAATTAAAACTATTTAGCTTAATTAATTCAACAAAACTGGTGAACTTGATCCAGTGATGCCAGCTTTTCAAAGTCTGGTGGTAATTTAGCAAGAGTTTTATATACCACATTTAGTTAACTACTTCACTGTTCAGTAAACTTTTAATGCTCTTGATGGGATTAAACTCCCTCTAAAGGAGCAGGTACTTAGCTGAGGGTATTTCTGCATCATTTGCTGTCACTTGAGGCTCAGGTGGCCTCAGTGACATGGAGTGCCTTCCATCAGCTTTGGCTGGTGGCCCAGCTGCACCCCTAACTGGAGAGGAATAACCTAACTTTTGTTGTCTATGCTCTGGTAACCTCTAGTTTAGTTTACTGCAACATGTTATATGTAGGGCTGCCTCTGAAGATGATTTAGATACTTCAGCTAGTGCAGAATTCAGCAGCCAAATTGCTCACCAGGGCAAGACAATTTGAGCACATTATAGTGATTCTGGTCCAATTGCATGGTTTCTGGGCCCAATTCAAAATGCTGGTTTTGACCCATAAAGCTCGGGACCACAATATCTGAATATCTCCATATGAACCAATATAGACCCATCATCTGAGGCCCTTCTTTGTGTGCCTCCTCCATGAGAAGTCTGGGGGGGGCACCATTAGAATGGCCTTTTCTGTAGTGGCTCCCCATTTGTAAAATGCTCTTCCAAGGGAGGCTTGCCTGGCCCCTTCATTATACACTTTTAAGTGCCAGGCAAAAACATTAAATAGGCCTTTGGCTGATTAACATCCTATGACCTTTTAAATATATTTGTGGGAGGGGGGTTATTGGTTTGGTTTGGTGTATTTTGTGTTCTCATTTTGTATTTTTATGTTCTGAACCACCCTGTGATCTTCAGATGAAGGGTGATGTACAAATTTAATATTGTTTTTTTCAAAAGGAAAAACAATGCAAGTAATGAGTAATTGAAGTGCCTTCCCTTGCCCCCCCCCCCGCATCCACTATTGAAATAGAAACTGACATTGGGGCAATTCAGAGAAGCTAGTAAGGGGGCAATTCACAGGCTAGTCATTGCTAATCCATTAGCAACAGGAAGCCATAAAATGAGCAAAGGGCCTGAGCACTCTTCTGTTCTCCCTCTCCCTGAAAGTACAATTCCTTATGGATCAGTTTGGTCCTTTGGCTCCTTGAACTAGGCAAACACAGCAAGGGCTATCAGTGGCTACTAACCATGATGGTTATGCTCTGCCTTTACAGCTGGAGGCAACAATGCTTCTAAATGCCAGTTGCTGAAAACCACAGCTGGAGGGGTGATGGCTCTTGTGCTTGGGTCTGGCTTGCAGGTTTTCCCCAGGCAACTGTTCAGCCACTGTGAGAACAGGAGGCTGGACTAGATGGGCCATTGGCCTCATTCAACAGGCTGTTTTTATGTTCTTAGCAAGTGAGGAGGTGACAATGCTGACAGTGTGCTTCTGTCTTCAGTTCCTTAGATTCACCTTCCTCTTTCCTCTGAGCTCTATTTTATGCCCAGGGCTGTTGCTTCCCTGTGTTTTCAACCAGTTGCACATTTGCAAAATCTGCTGCCAGAAGCAGAGACCATAAAGAGGCAACATTTGTCCTTTGGGAGGCCCCAAACAGAAGGCATTTCTCTGTTAAAGAAGCTGACAATTCCCACTGCAGAGGTAGCAACTTGCGCTGCTTTTGCCAGTGTGCGCCAGACCTTCCAAATCTTCTGTCACAAGCAGGAAAGTGCCTAGACTTTTTATAGCCATTCTGTGCCTGCCTCCAAATCTACCCCTGCTTTGCAAACTGTTCTTCAGAATTTATTCTGATCCACTAAACCTCCATTGAGCTTTTTGTCTGCTGGATCAAAACAAGCCCTTTGAAGAATAGCTCGATCATATGCTCAGATTCTCAAGCCTTTATTGGCATATGGATTGATCATTTGCAGGGTTTGCAACTTAATCAGGAGATCTTGGGAGACCTTAGCCTGGAAGTCTCTTAGGGTCTAAGGTTTAGCAAAGTTTATAGTTCCCTTACTAGCAAGCAACAGTAAGCTGGGGGGAACCTAGGATTGTGTTTGCAATATGTAGAATTGTAACTCCATTCTGCTCAGTTATAAACACCAAATAGTATTATTTAGTCTTGGTTATGGTAATAATTTGTATCATAAAACTGTAGTTAATATCTTGACCCTGCCCCACTGAATTGAAATTTCAGCCTTCACGACATAGGAAAACAGCTGAGTAAACAGCTATTTTCGTGGAGGGGGGTCAAGGTATTAACTGATATGCATGAAATTTCACATATAGCTTTATAATCCCTAGTGTCGTAAGATAAGACCTTTGGAGCAGGGATTTTTTTTTTTAAAAAAAGATTTTTATGAACCACCCTAATGTGACAGCCCACCAGATATTTGAAGATGGCTACCATATCATCTCTCAGTCTCCACTTCACCAGGCTAAAAGGTTATATATGATAGCCAGCTGCAAATATTATAGGATCATCATCTTCAAATACTTAGCGACAGGCTGGGGGGGGGGATGCAAATATTGACATATGTCTCCTTTTTCTTAACAGTACCTTTATTTTCATTGTGTATGAAATCATAACGTGGGATGTGGGGCAGCATGCTCACTGGGGTAATTTCGAGCTTGGTTTCCCCAGCACATGTGGTGGGAACGACTATGGCATAAGGGGCCTCATGAAAGATTGTGCCTCCTTCACTGCGATATGACAGGAAAACACTAAACCCTGTTAACGGCTTGGCATTTCATGGACGGGAGCAGGGAAATACCAGGCCTAAAGTTCACGGCATGTAAAACGGCTTTCATTAAGTGCAGGCAAGGATTGGCCATGCAAAAGCTCAAATGTCACAAGCTGGCACGGAATTTGATAGGGTGGACCTCCCCCCTCTCCAGCCCCATTGGCCTCCTGCTCCATTGGCACTCTGTGTGAGATAGAGAGATAGGGGAGAGGCTCCCTTATGACATCGAGTTTAATTGTTCTGGCGGCTCTGGAAACTGAGAATAACAGTGATTTCAGGTTTGCTGAGGTGCTGAAAGTGGAGAATGATTCATGGAATCAAAGAACTGTAGAGTTGGAAGGGACCCCAAGGGCCGCCAATCCAACCTCCCTGCAATGCAGGAATCACAGTTAAATCATTGCTGATTGATAGGTGCTGAAACATGGAAGTAGCTTTGTTGAAGGGTGCTGGTCCCCTAGTGTACACAGAATGCCTCTGAGTGACACGAGAGGGAGGAAGCTGAAGATGCTGCATCTGGACCTGCCGTGGTCTGAAAGCCCTGTTCACATGTGTGGTAGTGGGAGAGAAATGGTTGCTGAATGACCCTTTGCAATGACCCTGTTAGCATAAAACACCTGTTCTCAGATATTTTCACTGGTTGCTGCTTTGCTACCAGGCTGAGGTGTTACTGTTAGTATTGTTGTTGTTTAGTTGTTTAGTCGTTTAGTCGTGTCCGACTCTTCGGGACTCCATGGACCAAGAGCACGCCAGGCACTCCTGTCTTCCACTGCCCCCCCCCCCAGTTTGGTCAGACTCATGTTTGTAGCTTCAAGAACACTGTCCAACCATCTCGTCCTCTGTCGTCCCCTCCTCCCTGTGCCCTCCATCTTTCCCAACATCAGGGTCTTTTCCAGGGAGTCTTCTCTTCTCATGAGGTGGCCAAAGTATTGGAGCCTCAGCTTCAGGATCTGTCCTTCCAGTGAGCGCTCAGGGCTGATTTCCTTAAGAATGGATAGGTTTGACCTTCTTGCAGTCCATGGGACTCTCAAGAGTCTCCTCCAGCACCATAATTCAAAAGCATCAATTCTTCGACAATCAGCCTTCTTTATGGTCCAGCTCTCACTTCCATACATCACTACTGGGAAGACCATAGCTTTAACTATACGGACCTTTGTCGGCAAGGTGATGTCTCTGCTTTTTAAGATGCTGTCTAGGTTTGTCATTGCTTTTCTCCCCAAAAGCAGGCATCTTTTAATTTCATGACTGCTGTCACCATCTGTTAGTATATAAAGCCCTTAATGATTTGGAACCAGTTTATTGATGAGATCTCCTTGTCCCACACCAGGGGTTGGCAACCTAAGGCCCATGGGCCACAAGCAACCCATGGGGGTTGCCCATGGACCCCCACTGCCTGCTCAGGGACCCCAGCCACCCTCTCGGTTGGCTCTCGCCACACTAAACCAGTGCGGAGCAGAAAGGGGACTGCCTTCCATGAATCTGGCCGGCTTCTGCAGCCAGTGGAAAGCTGTGCACGCCTCCTCTGCACCAGAAGGAGCACCGGAAATAGCATTTGCACATGTGTGCATGCACGCACGTGCGCACTCTGGCCCACCGCAGTGTCTGCGGCATCATGAACCAGCTCCAGCCACAAAAACTTTGCTGACCCCTTTCCTACACATACCCACGTGACCACTTCAATTGGCAGAATTTCAGTACTACAGGTGCCACATAATATCTACTCTGCATTTGAAAGAACTCGATTGTTTAGTGTGCCAGCACCTACACTTTGGAACTCCCTGCTTATGGAGATCAAGCAGGCTCCTTCACTGTAGTCTTTTCGGTGCCTGCCATAAACATTATTGGTTAGACCAAGTGTTTAGCAAGTTGAGGCTATCTGTTTTTGTGTTTTAACTTTTGTATGGTTTAAAGTATGGTTTGGATTTTTTTTCTTTATTTTACTGTTGTTGTTTTTGTGTAAACCTCTTTGTGGTTTCTTCCAGGCAAGTGGTGTGTGTGTGTGTGTGTGTGTGTGTGTGTGTGTGTCTTTCTACCCAGGACTGTGACTGGCCAAAATCTCAACATTATTTTCCCTCCATGGTGAGCAACCTGGAAGGGGTGGGCGTAAATCAGGGCTGAGAGTACAGTGGGATTTATGGGGTTCCCCAGCCTCTGCAGTCCCATGAGCAATCAGGGGTGATTATTAATTAATCAAGCTCTTCAGGGACAGAGTCATGGTGGAAGGAGTAATTAAAATAAAGCACCGTGCTGCTCTGGAGCAGATTGTGATTTATGAGCTTGACAAATGCCTCCTTTGTCTCCCCCCACTCCCACCCCACTATTCGTCAACATCCCCCAACCTCCAATGTCCCCCCCCTTCTTTCCCCAGGCCCAGTGGGAAGGTCTCACTGGACGCATCGTCTTCAACAAAACCAGTGGCTTGAGGACGGATTTCGACTTGGACATCATCAGCCTCAAGGAAGACGGGCTTGAAAAGGTCAGTTGGGTTGCCTCACGGCCTCCTTTCCTCTTTTCAAAGATCAGAGCAGTTCTCCTGGGCTCCCCCAGACTATCCCTTGACCCTGACAACTATATAGGAGCTGAAGGGTTGACATTGCACTGGTGAGTGCAATGGCATTGCACTGGTGAATCCTGCTCATCCCTTGCTCATTCCCAAATCCCATTGGCCAGCTCACCATCTTTCAGCCTAACTGCCTTTGCATGGTTGCCGTGAGATCAGCAAATCAGCATCTGATCATCACAAGTGGACTTCTTTTGTACATGGAGGTTTTATTTTAGCTCTCCTAGCCAATAGCTGTCCTCCAGGAATGTGTCTAATTCTGTGGATTCTACAAGTAAACTCTGCTTTCTGGGAAACGGGAGGTGTTCTTGTGAAGATGTCTTATTTTATTTATTGCATTTATATCCCACCTTTTTCTCCAAGGAGCTTGATGTGTCATACATGGTCTGTCTCCCTCCTCATTTAATCCCCTTAACAACCCAGTAAGGTAGGTTAGACTGAGAAGCAGTGACTGGCTCAAGGTCACCCAGTCAGCTTCATGGCCAAGTGGGGATTTGAACCCTGCTCTCCTGGGTCCTAGTCCACCACTCTAACCACTGCACCACACTGGCTCTTGCCATGTTCACATCCGTTTAATTGGGTCATCCAGGGGAGAAAAAATATATCCCATTCTAAAAATATCTCCAGACTTTTTTACCTTCTGCAAGACTTTCTCAAGGTGTTGGTGTTCGTATTTCTTCCAGCACTGGTGCTTATTCAAGATAATTTTTGGACACTGTTACTTAAGGCCAGCATGTGGCATTAAAATTCCCTAACAGCTTCTTGTATGCTCTGCAAGGATGCTGGGACTCAGTTAATTTCCGTCATTTCCAGCGAGTTCTTATCACATTTTCACGCTCTCTTTCTCTCTCCCTCTTTCTCTCGAGTGTGTGTGCTTAAGCTCTCTCTTAGCTCAAGAAAGGCTTTAGAGTGTCTGTGTCAAATCTCTGTGGAGTCAGGACATTAAATTCCAGTCAATAGGTAATCTGAATTAATTGTGTGCCCAAACCAGGAGCAAATCCTGATATGTACTTTTGCATTATGTTTAATAGTTTACATTTGCCTGAGGTTTAGCGGTGAGCTTCTGATCTTCCTTGCCTCCTGCAAGTTAATGGATTATGGAGGCATTAAACATGTGTAATTACAAATCCTGTATGCAGCTAGCATGGTGGCAGTGCTGGCAGTGGTGGGATAGCGGGACAGTGTTGTTGAGGGATTTTTATTTTTATTTAAGTAGGTTTGGGTCCCCCATGTAGGGTATTTTTATTTCTTTTGCCAAGTCATCTTCACAAACTGCAGTGGGGGTTCTTGCTTGCCATTTGTGTGTCATCATAAAGGTAAAGGGACCCCTGACCGTTAGGTCCAGTCATGGCCGACTCTGGGGTTGCGGCGCTCATCTCACTTTATTCACCAAGGGAGCCGGCGTACAGCTTCTGGGTCATGTGGCTAGCATGACTAAGCGGCTTTTGGCGAACCAGAGCAGCACATGAAAACGCCGTTTACCTCTTCGCCGGAGCAATACCTATTTATCTACTTGCACTTTGATGTGCTTTTGAACTGCTAGGTTGGCAGGAGCAGGGACCGAGCAATGGGAGCTCGCCCTGTTGCGGGGATTCGAACCGCCGACCTTCTGATCGGCAAGCCCTAGGCTCTGTGGTTTAACCCACAGCGCCACCTGCATCATCATACCCATTAATAATCTTTCCACACGTGGATTATTGCAGGATGAAGGAGAGGACCAAGGGAGGGAACTGTCTTTTGCATATAAACAATCAACTCTTCTGAAAGGGGTCTAGTTGGTGTTTTAATATAATCATAGAATTATGGAGTTGGAAGGGACTCAAAGGGTTGTTTGGTCCAACCCCCTGCAAGGCAATGAAGTTTTACTTCATATCAGTAAAACGTTATGAGGTTGTGTGGTTACTTTGTGTGGTTGTGCAGATTTGGGGGAAGGGGGTTCTTTTAAAATGTAATACAGAGCTTCTTGCCTTGCAGACTGTGTCATTTAAGACTCAGGGGTTCTCAGATAATCCACAGGTGAAACTGTGAAATATGCCAGCTTCCTCCTGTGTTAGTTTTTACAAAGTCTTTTGAATCCTCTCCTAAGATAGCTTGAAACATCACTTAGTCATTATACGCACATGCAGACACATAAACATCTTGTTTATTTTGTTGTTGCCGCCATCTGTCTGTCTCAAGAGAAAATGAACTATGCTTGGGGGGCAAAGTTAAACAGCTGTATTAGCAGCAATGAAGTGACCTCCCCAGGGCACGAGCTTGGGTAGTGTGTATGGAGGTCCTGGACTGCCCAGATGATGAGACCCCTCCCCTTTCAGCCAAAAGCAATACATTTGGCACATACTTTAACTATGGAACTTGCTCGCACTTGGATGGTGTTAAAAGAGGACTCAATAAATTCACCATGATGGCCATGCTCTGCCTCCGTTGTAAGAGACAGCAATGATACTGAATGCCAGTTGCTGGAAACCAGAGGAGGAAAGAGTGCTCTTGTGCTCAAATCCTGCTTGCGAGTTTCCTGTTGGGGCATCTGGTTGGCCATTGTGAGAACAGCAGCCTAGACTAGATGGGTCACTCTGGCCTGATTCAGCAAGCTCTTCTTATGTTCTTAAATCATGTTAAGGTTGTGTTACATCAAAGTAACAGTTTGTACAAGCACTGCCCAGCCCTCTCTTTCATTTTTTTGCCTGTTTTCACTTGAGCAGGGATGGGGATCATTTGCAATCCCCTCCACATGCTGTTGGACTTACAACTCCCATCAACCCCAAAAGCCAACGTGACCCAGTGGTCATGGATGATGGGAGTTGTAGTCCAGCCACATCTGGAGGGCATCAGGTTCCCCACCCCTGAGCTAGAGACTGATTTCACAATATCTGACCTCCACTCCCTTGACCGTTCTCTCTCTCTTCAGTGGCCTGACTGGTCTGGCCTGATGGTTTGGTTGAATTTTTGCTCATTTCTTGTCTGCCTCCATCACAGGTTGGTGTGTGGAGCCCATCTGATGGACTGAATATCACTGAAATCTCCCGAAGGCAAGGCCCCAATGTGACAGATTCCCTCACCAACAGATCCTTGATTGTCACCACAGTCCTGGTAAGTGGTTGCAGGGTTCTATCTAACCCCTCCTTGATTTGGCTGTTTCCACTTCTAGATCGTAACCCCACCACCACCTTCTAAGGAGCTTGCGCTGTGTTTTCATACATTACATTGTGTATGGACAGATTATCCTGATAGCAAAAGGGCTGAACTATTTGGGCATGGCAGGGAACTGTCCAAAACAATGTTCTCCTTGGCAGCATCCAGACTGGGGTTCAGTGAAGCCATTGGAGCTCAATGTGGTGTATATGGTTCTACTCCTCCTTAAATAATCCCCACAACAACCCTGTGAGGTAGGTTAAACTGAGAAGCACTGAGTGGTCTGAGGTCACCCAGTGGACTTCAATGTCGAGTGGGAGATTTGACACTCTAGCAAATACATGATCACACTTCCTCTCACCAGTGGATTCCAATCCATCTTCTGCTCAGCCCTATGCTGGGGAGCAACTTCCCACAGCCCACAAACCACCCACTCTGAAACTGCAACCAAGCCCTTGTCATCTCTCAGGAGCTCTTATTGACATTTCTCAGCATCCCTTGGGGCTCCCCCTTCCCCCCCCACACACTTAGGCACCCAAGTGACAAACTACCCCAAAGTAATTCACTTAGCCAGCGACGCTTGGATACTCAGCCGGTCTCCTTGGCCACTAACTGTCACAGCACATTTAGCACACGGGCCTGCTATTGGATTTGAAGGCAGGCATCAGTTCAGGGTGAATTTCCATCCAGTCTCTAATGAATTATGATGAGGCCCACTGGTTTAGATTCAGATGTGTTAGACAGAGTGCCGAGCTTTGTTACTTCAGGAGGAAGATAGGGGGAGGGCGGGGGCAGGCGAATCCCTTGGAGAGGATGCTGCAGCAAGATTGAAGAGTTTCTCTCTTTGAAACCACACACACAGGCTCCTCTCTCCCAATTCCAAATCAGCCCCCCATTTTGATAGTTTCTCTAAGCCTTTGCTACAGCATCAGCAGCTGGTCCTTGTGGGTCTAGATCAGCTGCCATAGTATCATGGAATTGTAGAGTTGGAAGGGACTCAAAGGATCATCTAGTCCAGGGATCCCCAGCTGATCCTGGTAGATCGTGGGATCCTTATCGTGTACAAAAAGTTACAGGGGGAAAGCTTAAAATCTCTGTGCAATCCACCCACCCCACACGCGCTCCTCCTCCTTCCAATGACAATGGATAGATCACTGCCAGTTTTTTTATACTGGGTGTAGATCGCAGTCTCTTGGGAGCTGGACATGCCTGATAGTCCAACCACTCACAATGCAGGAATCACAGCATCATTTTGGCCTGCAGGGGGAGGCCTTGGTCACCTTGAAAAGGTTAGCCAGTACCTCATACTAAACCTAGGCCCCATCACTATTATAGATTTAAAGCAGAATCATACCATTTGAAACAGTCATCCGGAAACTGTAGTTTGTTAAGGGTGCTGAGAATTATTAGAAGACCCCTATTTCCCTCACAAAGCTATAAATACCTCTTCCCAGGGACCTCAGGGAGCTGTAGCTCTGTGAGGAGAATTGGGGCGTCCTAACTGCTCTCAGCATCTACAGGTGCATGGCCATCTGTCAGCGATCCTTTCGCTGTGATTCCCACATTGCAGAGGGTTGGACTTCATGACCCTTTGGGTTCCTTCCAACTCTAGAATTCTATGAATCCACGACACACTTCCCAGGTTTAAAGTGGTGTGATACTGCTTTCAGTGTATAGTGCAGATGGGGCCCTAGACTGCCTTATAAAGTCATAGAATCATAGAATTGTAGAGTTCAGATTCGTTAGCTGTGATTCCTGGGTTGCAGGGGGTTGGATTAGAGGTCCCTTGGGGTCCCTTCCAAGAGTTTTATGATTCTGTGCTGATGACGCAGGTGGAGACGAGCGCTTCTGGTTTGCCTGAGTTCTGCAACAGTTCCCTTTTTAAGCAGGGAATCACCCACATCTCCCTCCCGCTCTGCCACTTGATGGCCTGTTTGCTGTTGCTGATGCTGCCGCCACCAAGACGTGGTGCTGGGATTCCTCCCTGCCTCCCCCTTTCACACCCTCCTGCTCATCCTGCAGCGCCTTGTCGGTGGCAGCTGGCCGATGATGTTTCTCCAACAGACCGTTCCACTCTCTCCTCCTCGAGCCACGGGAGAGCTGTGAAGATCCTGAAATTGAGGGCACCTTCGCTGAGAAATCGATTAGCGAGCCCTGAAAGCCTGCGAATTGAATGTCTGACCGTTTCCAGTAATAAATTGTGAAACAGCCCGTGAATAAGTGCCTTGCAGAGTTCAAGAATTACCCCCTAGGAAATGTCTGAGACCTCCAGGAGCGGCGCAGAGGCAAGCAGAGCTCCTACACGACGCTGCTTCTTCAACTGTTAAATATGGAGGAACACGCCCCCCTCCACTCTGTTTTGTGCCTCCTGAGATTAATGGGGCTTTATGGCTGCTCCTGCCGGCCTCTAGACTTGAGTACAAATGCAAAAGGCACGAGGACCAGCTTCCTGGATGGGCATCCTGCCTGCTGCCTTGCTTTCAGCTGTTCCTTGTCCACCAGCTGTACCAGTTTTGGGTGCTGCAAGTTGTTTGTCCTATTTTAAGGACTGGGTAACCCAGTGGTTTCCAAAGTGGGTGGTATCACCTCCTTGGGGGGCAGCAGGGTTACCAAGGGTGGGCATTAAGAGGCAAGATGGTGACACTGTGGGGGGGAGGGGCAGGTACCAGAGGTACAAAAGACTATGAGACTTTGAAATGCTAGAATCCCTGGAGCAAGTTCATCGGTTTTGTTGAATCAATTAAATAAATAATTTTAATTGGATTTTGATTAAGTGGGCAATTAATTGTCACTGTTTCAAATTTTATTGTGTTCTTGCAGTCCTTAGGGGGTTGTGAAAACTGCTATTCTGAAGAGTGCTTTTTAAAGGGTAGGGTAGGGGAAACTGGGGGAGAGTTTATAGAACCAAAGGGGTGCTGGCCCCCAAAAAATCAGTACTACTGAAGTAGCTCCTTCACCCTGCCTAGCAGGTTCCAAACATGGAGAAAGCCTCTTTTTATGGGTCTTTCATGGAAGGCAATCTTTATGTGGGGCAGTCAGGCTGAGTTCCAAAGAGCGGTAAGGTCCAGTGGTAAGGCAGGCGGCCATGAAGCCACTCTGGCCTTCTACCACATCCTTAGGAAAATAATGCATGATGGCCTCAGTTCCTGATCTGTAAAATGAGTACATTCCAAACAGCTGAGCATGAGGGGCCGCAATCCAAAGCAGAGATGAGCAACCATTAAAATCAATAGTGTTCAATGACTTCTTTCAGGGTGTTTACTTCTGCCTTGAATTGTGGCCACTGAAGTTTTTGAAGCACATTGAAAATAAAACAAGTTCTAAGGATGGAATATGATATTGAATTATTTGCTGCATTTGTATCCTCCTGTTTTCTCCAAGGAGATTCCAGGTCCTAGTCAGACCATCTAACCATTACAGCACACTGGCTCTCATTAGTGTTATAATGCTATAATGGTAGCAGGCATGATAACGACCAAACTGGCTGCAGTGCCAGAAAGCAAAGAGAGACACCCAGATCTGTCCTGTGGCTACTTAAAGGGGCTTCTGTGGCTGGTGGGTTTAGTTGCATGTGGTTGTTTAGCTACTCTCTGTCTCTTTCCTTTCTTCCTGTGTAGGAGGAACCCTTTGTCATGTTCATCAAGTCGGACACCGTGCTCTCCGGGAATGAGCGCTTTGAAGGCTACTGCGTTGATCTCCTAAGGGAAGTCTCCCGAATCCTTGGCTTCAGCTATGAGATCCGTGTGGTGGAGGATGGGAAGTACGGAGCCCAGGATGAGAAGGGGCAGTGGAACGGCATGATCAGGGAGCTGATTGATCATGTAAGTACCTTGCTGTTATCTATAGATGTTCCTCAGGATCCCTTCCAATTCTACAGTTCTATGATTCTATGTACTGCATCACCCCCCTCTCCCACCTTCATTTGTCTGCCTGCTTGCTTAAAATACTTCTATCCTGGCTTTCCAGAAGGGACCCACGAGGCTCAACCTGGCTAGCAGCAAAAAATAACATCAATAAATGCAACCAGAAAACATGTAAGGATATTGTTTTGAAAAGCAGATAAAAACAGGACAGTCAAAACTTAACCACTTCACAGGTCAGATGCTCATTAAAAAAGAAAAGTTTTCATATGGCAGGAGAAGGCCCTTAAGTAGAGGGCATGCCTTACCCCCTCTGGATAAGGAGTTCAAAAACCTATGTGCAGCCACAGAGAAGGCCTTCACCTGCACCTCAGCCAAACACAACTCTTGAGAGGAAGGAGAGCCTCTCCAGAAGATCTTAATAACTGGACAGTTGTGGAGGAGAGAAGACAGACTTCAGAAATCCCAAGCCATTTATTTAGGGTCATGGTGAACTTTGAACTGGGCTCAAAAAATTAACCAGAAGCCCACGAATCAACTGTCATAAAGAAGTAACATACTCCCAGTACCCAGCTCTGTTCAGCAGACTGGCCACAACGTTCTGGAGCAGCTGGAATTTCTGAAGACTTCTCAAAGGCAGCCCCACAGAGAACACATTGCAGTAGTCTATTTGAGATGTGGCTAAGGTATGTGTCACCATGCCCATCTCTGGTGACTCATGGAATGGGCACAGCTGGTGCACCAACCTAAGTTGGGTAAATGCAGTCCTGACCACAGTCAATAGTTGAGCATCTGTGCCCAAGGCTGGGTCCAGGAACATCCCCTAAGCTGTGCACTTGAGTTTCCAAGGGAGGAATTCTGCCCCATTTCTGTCTTGTCTGGATTAAGCCTCAGCTTGTTTGTCCCCAACCCATCCATGATCAAATTAAAAACTAAAGGAAAAATTGAAGGAAAATTGAAGGAAGGAGAAAGAGACATGGATACTATCCACTTGAAACTGGCTTGTGTCGGACTTGTGTTCGACCGAGCTCCTCCGAGCTCCTCCGACGTGATTAACAACCTGAGCCTTGATGAGGTTCCAAGCACGTTTCCCCATTACGCAGAGTATCCAGCACAGGGAAGGACGAGATAGTATGAGCTACATGGCAAAAAGAGTTTTATTCCTAACTACGCAGACAGAAAAGAAAATGCATCCGCTCTCTGTGAGAGCAGAGAACAACTGAAAAACAAAGGAACAGGAAACGAGTAACATCACATCCGTCTCCTGTCTTCCGTGAGACTTCCAATAGCCTGGAAGCTCTGGAAAGCAAAACAGAGTCTTGTGACTCCAAGAGTACTGCACAGTGGCAACACACAGAAACTAACAGCTTGGACTGAAACTGGAGTATTGGTGGAGAGAGAGAATCTGAATTTTCATACATTTGTTTATTAGTAGTTACTTAGATCTACAATCTTCTTAAGACTATGCTGTGCATCATCTGTCTGTCCATCCATCATCCATTTCCACATGTTCCTCTTGAGTGTGACCAAGAAACAGAACCAAATATTGTGCTTCTTTGGAGAGATTGCTCTGTGCATATGCTCTGAGGTAGTTGTTGTAGTCCCTAGAAAAGGTGTCTGGTGAAACATACTTTTTAGCTCCCAAACAACTAGAAGGACTTGCTAAGGAAGAGGCAGAGAATCAGAGGCAGACTCAAAAGCAGAGTGTTTCTGAGAGGCATGGGCTGGAGTCACATCCAGCCCTAAGCAATCTGTCTCTCAAGGAGTTAAGCTGTGGCCTGCGGTCCAGAATCCCAGAGGCAATATCTCCGCTTGATGATCCATGCTTGCACTTTTATAGCCTGACCCTGCTGCAAAGCAGAGGACAAGCTGTTAAAAAAAAAAAAAAAGCAGGACCAGGTGTGTGAGGAACAATTTCATTTATTTGGAAATGCAGTTTTATTTTCAAAAGCAGAACGTAAACAGATTCTTCCTTCCAGCTGAGTAGATGCAGAAATCTTTTGCAGGCGACAGAGGCAGTTCTCCTCCGCCTAGCAGTAATACACCCTTCTCTGAAAACGCTAAGCTGGATAGCCTCCGTGGATAGCATTATTGGGCAAGCTTCTCCTCACTCAGGTTTGGTTGGACTGGAATCTTTAATAAAATAAAAAAAGCAGGAAAATAGCTTGGCCCATTTCTGAGCCATTCCTGGTTCTCTGGCACTCAAGTGGCAAGCAGAGAGAAGCCTTTTGTTTCTGTTCTCCTGGGTCTGAGGGCTTGTCCACGCTTCTGCTTGCCCCATGCCTAGAAACATAGGAGCCAACTGCAGGGGCCCTTGGGTGCTTGGGCACCCACAATAATATAATTGTGTGGGCTGGGCACCCACAAAGTCAATGAAGAAGGCTGGCAGATGGCAGCAGCACTGCCTCCAAAAGAGAAGCAGTTCAGCCCTGCCCTCCTCGGCCAACGAGTGAGGCACCCTTTTCTGGGGGGTGGGGCTCAGACATGGAGGTAGTCTCTCTGCCTCCAAGCCCTTCCCCATGGAGAAGGGTGCCTCGCTGGCTGCAGATAGGAGGAGGAGGAAGAGGAGTCATTGCTGCTGGCTGCCGCAATGTGGACTTGCAACATCACTCGCCCACACCTGCACCTAGTGTGAGTGAGATCACATGCACTACGTCCAGGCAATGTCGCATGTCCATGTTGCAGTGGTGGGCACCCACAATCCTGAGAGAAAGGTGGCACCCCTGCCTTGAAAGCATGGGTCCAATCAATTTTCCGCTTGACCTGAGCTTTCTAGGCTTAGGTCTGAGCAGTTTCCTTCTTGCCCCCACTCCTTTCCTAGTGAAAACCACTCTTCAATGCTAAATCGGAGCAAACGTCCATCTGGGGAAAACCTGAATTGCTGTTTGCTCCAACTGAGCACTAAAGAGCAGTTTTCCCCAGGGGAAACCAGTGGGACAAGAGGAGGTGTGAATAAGAATAATATTACAGCATGCCAGGGTGCAAGCAGAGGGTTGGACTAGTTCTGCCCTGTCCCATGTTATCCTCACAATAACCCTGTGAAGTAGGTTAGGCTGAGAGTGAACGACTGGCCCAGGATCACCTGGTGAGCTTGAATGGGGGATCTGAACCCTGATCTCTCAGGTCCTAGTCTGACACTTTAACCACTACACCACACTGGCACTTGTGGACGAGCACACGCCAACGTGCTTTCACACAAGCAACAGGTACAAAGTCACTTTGCAAAAGAAGAAACGCTTTGAAACAGCAATTTTAAAAAAGCAACCACGCTCGTAAGAGCACTTTCAAACAGTAATTACCACCTGCCTGTTGAGAGCATCTTTTTATCGGAGTCCCTCAAAGCACTCCACAAACATTAATTACCCCCCTGCAATGCTAAGTGGGTTCCGTTTTAATTGAAACTGTAAATGACTTTGCTCAGAGCTGTGCACCGTATCGGGGCAGAAGGGAGGCAGGAGCCACAGATCCTAAAACCTGGCTGGCCTGGCTGCGGCTGGCCTGGCTACTGTCGTTTTATAGGAACCATGGTTCTGACAGCTTGCACCATTTTACGCAGATAATCAGTTGGCGTAGTACAATAACACGAGAGCAAAGGGGCCTTGCTTCCCTATGGGAAAGATGTCTTTTTAATAATCCTTTTATTAATAGGAGATCCACCTTTCACCATTTATTTTAACCATTTGGTGATTAATCTGGGCTGCTGTGTGCAGGAAGTCACATGAGGCTCCAGAACGGCATCAATTTCTTGATGCTCTAATAATACCATGAAGAAAATAATGCAATCTGAGGGACTTCTAATTTCCCAGCCCACTGAAGTGTCTTCCATGCAAATTTCAATTCAGAGGCCTCCTCAGACTGAACCTGTAAAACAGAACAAAATAATTAATGGCATAATTACCCTCTGAATGCAGTTTGGAGGCATCAAAGTGGGGGGAGGCTCTCTCTTTTACATCCACCGACCCCACGGAATGTCTCCCTTAGCAATTGATTTGTTGGGTTTAAGAGTGGGAGAAAGATGTACATACACAGCACTGCATCAGCCCAGCCAGTAAGCAGCATTTATTTCTTCCAAGTCAGACTACTTTAAAAAGCCAGTGCAATGTAGTGATTACAGTGGTGGATTGAGACCTGGTAGACCAAGGTTCAAGTCCCCATTCAGCCATGAACTTCACTGGGTAATCTTGGGCCAGTCACTGCCTCTCAGTGTAGCCTGCCTTGCAGAGTTGTTGGGGGATTAAAGGAAGAGGGGGAGAACCACGTACACCGCCCTGAGCTCCTTGGAGGAAAAGTTGTCATATAAATGTAACAATAAAGCAAAGCCTTCCTCCAATAGTTGGGGCTTGGTGTGAGGACTGCTGTTGTGTGTGCACTGCCATCCACAGTATGAATGTCAGTGTGTTTAGGTGCATGTCTGAGCAAACTATAGATGCATCCTATAGATATCCTTTTGCAGTGTGTGTTGAGGGGGGTACACTGTAACTTCAGGCCAAATGCCTGAGTTCTGTGGAATCTTGCAGAAAGCTGTGATGCTTGTTCTCTGTCAAGAGACCTGACTTGGTCAGCACATCGTTTGACGCACAACTTTCCCCCCTGTGCAGAAAGTCAATGAGTCACGTAACTCGTGACTCGCCCAAGGCACACTGTTTCCCACCACAGGTGGCCTGTGATGTGAAGATGAGGACAACCAGTGGTGCTGCCCTTTATTTGTCAGCACTTGCATTTTGGGATTGCAGGGACTCTACTTTGCCCCCCGCTGTGTGATCCTGGCAGGTCTGGCCACAGGCAGTGCAGCCTTAAGGGAAAAAACAGCTTTTTAGAAAGTCCTTTGTTTTGAGGCTGGCCTGAAGCAACAAAAGCAAGAACATCTCGTGCCTTGGAAGGTTTATGTGTTCAGTTCCCCCCACCCTGCAAAATGGCCATTTCCTCCTGCAGCTGGGAAAATCCCCAGCTGGCTCAGAGGACCATCCCACACCATGGCCATTCATTTCACACACAATTTTCAAAAATGTAGATGCTAACCTTTGAAGACAGTGAGATCCTGCAAATGCAGGAAGAAGGAGGAGGAGAAGGAGGAGGAGATCAGGGACACAGCTCCACCCCTCCTCTGTTGCATCCCCAAACAACTTGCGCTTGAAGGGGACCCTCTCCACAGATCTTCATGCCTGAGCATTGACACCTCGGGACACTGCTGGAAATCTCTGGAGGAACCAGATGCCGAACTTAACGAGCCATTGGCTGGATCCAGGAGGCTCTTCTTACATTCTTAAATTATGTGGTTATGTGGGAATTGGCTTTCTTCATATTCATTATAGGTTTGGGTATATAGGATTCTTTGGTGTTGTGCAAAACTCACTTTTGCTTGTGGTTAATGAACAGTATATCCATAGATGATCCTATCAAATAGCAGAAGGTTAAAGTTGTGGTCTTTGGTCTTAAAGATCCACCTAGAACAGCATTTTGATTCCAGCTAGATACCGCCTGGGATTTTCACAAGAAAGGCATAAAGGTAACCACTGCCCTCTCTTCTTTGCCCCCCCCCCCCCCGGTATCTAGTACAGTCATACCTTGGATCCCGAATGCCTTGGTACTTGGACATTTTGGCTCCCGAATGCCACAAACCCAGAAGTGAGTGTTCCAGTTTGTGAACATTCTTTGGAAGATGAACATCCGACAGGGCTTCCGTGGCTTCCAATTGGCTGAAGGAGCTTCCTGCAGCCAATCAAAAGCCGCGCTTTGGTTTCTGAACATTTTGGAAGTCAAAAGGACTTCCGGAACGGATTCTGTTCGACTTCCAAGGTACGACTGTACCCAGAAATTTGCTATCCTGGGCGTGGTTCTTCATGTATCTATCAGGGATGGTAGCTTGGTTAATCTTCTATCCATGAATTCATCTTTTGCTGAAGCCACCTCAGCTCCTGCCCATTGTAACACCCCAGGACAGTGAACTGCATCAGTAAAACTTATTCAAAAGAAACACTTCATGACACATAATTCCTTCTGTTCCTTATAGCTCCAAGGTAGCCTTGTTCTGACACTCCTACCGCAGAAGAGGCTTGTATCAAAAGCGGCTACATCTTTTTGTCCTTATTGGACATTTTGCACCAATATAAGCTGTTCTCTGTGATTTCTACTTGGCATGAAGAACACAGAAAAAATGGAGGGTTTTTCTTGAACAGAAATGCCTCCCCACTGATAACTGCAGCTCAGTCCTAATCTCTGTCCCTGGGGGATGATTTGACAGTTGATTTAATGCTTTCACCATAAACAGAGCATTTATTGACAGTAAATTCCAGCAATTTATGTCCTTACAGCTACCTGGTTTGGGAATGTTTTTGCACCTGATGCTGAGAGATCGTTTAGTGCAGATGCGGGCAAAATCACTGCCCTCAGATGGGAAGGGGCAAGCTTTCAAGAAATGCCCTGATTCTATGCCCTGTATGTTCTGAGCTGCAGGAATTTGGCATGGAGAAAACAAGGGCCCAGAGGATGGGAAGGAACTCCTGAAACACACAGTTTATCTTTGCCTCTTTATGTTTGCCTGAGTCCACTAAATATTTTGATTCAGCCGACCCGAAAGGAAGGTAAATTTGAAGGCAAAACATATGTAGAGATCTTCACAAACTCTCTCAGGGAAGACGCATTGTCAGACATTGCTGTGTTACACTTGGAATGAATTTCTCAGAGCGAAAAGAGTTCTAGTAGGATTGGTGAAAATTCTCAGGCTGGCTTTGTGCCTCCAACCTAGATGTCTTTAAATGTGATCTGATCTAGGCTTTTTTTTTTATCTTGTTATGTTTGTGCATCTCTTGATAGCCTTTTGAAAAAAATGACTTTGGAGATGTGGCTTTAGCAGTCTTGACTTGCATGCCAATTTTTGCACTGCCGTCTATCCCTTTTATTCAATTCTGAATTTGGGGAATGGGATCCTTTAACAGACATTTGCAGCTGCAAACCACGAGGGCAGGAGAGAATGAAGTTCAAACAAGCCATTGTTTTGGTGAAGGCTGGTAACTAGACAGACATGGGCATGATCAAATTTTGTTGTCAATGGTGATGTACGTGGGGCAGAATAAAAAGCTGGAATGGAAAGCAGTTATCCAGCTGACCATTTTGAGACATGCTGTGATCAGATTGTCCACGTTACTTCTTGGGTGACCTTCTAGTTCCCTGTGTGGTGGGAAGACTGTCCTGCTCTCCCACCAGGAAGGAACATAATGTTGCAATCAGCCATTATGAATCTTTTGCCAGTCATCTGCTGAAATCTGCTGGAACTAACAACCAAGTATCTTCTTCTCCACGGTCTCTTGTGTTCTCCAGTAAAATCAATAAAATATGCATTATTTACCTTTTCTCCCAGTGGTGCAGACAATTAGTTTATCTAATATCTAAAGTATACATGTGATGTTCCCTCCTTTTCCACCTTGGTATACTTTTGCTGTTCCTGTAGCAGCCTAGGAATGAGTGAACTGGTCAGTTCCTACTTCTCTCAGTTTATCATTGTTTTCCTATCTTAAGTTCTTTTCACCCCATTTGCAAACTTTTAAAAAGTATGCATGAAACAACTGCTTCTTTGTGCACATTTCTCCTGATATATGCATTTTTGCAGCAATTTCCCCAAATGCAATGCATTCTTAAGAACACAAGAAGAGCCAGCTGGATCAGGCCAATAACCCATATAGTTCATCATCCTGTTATCACAGTGGCCAACTAGATGCTGGATCCCAGCACAACAGCCCTCTCCTCTCCTGTGGTTTCCAGCAACTGGTACTCAGAAACATTACTGCCTCCAACTGTGGAAACAGAATATGGCCATCTTGGCTAGTAGTCATAGATAACCTTATTCTCATCCATCCACCTTGGCATCAATGAACACTAATGACCACTGAAAGGGTGGAGTGGCCACAGTCCCTGGCATGAATGGAGAACCAGTAGTTTGGGTCTGCTATGGAAAGAACAGGGATGGTCCTGCTGTGTCTGTCTTCCTTATCAAAAGCATTTGTGCCAATCAGACCAAACTATAATTGTCACTTAACTTTCCTTTGAGACACTTTATAGACCCCACAAAAATCCAAAAGGGATAAGAACAGGGATGTGATTTCAACCCTTGAGTTCCTAGGGCAACTCTGCTACCCTCCTGATGTTCTGGACTATAATTCCTATCAGCCCCAGCTAGCTTGCCATTGTGGTTCAGAACACCTAGAGGGCACTGGCTTGGGGAAGGGTGTGCTAGGACATTTGGGAGCTCTGATTCAGAAGCTCCCAAGTGGATCCAATCCCAATAGCATGTCTTCCATTCAGGACTAAATTTTAAGTAACCCAGAATGCATGCAGAGTTTGCAAAGGAACCCCAGGGCAGCCCTCTGAAGCTGCCAATGGCTCCTTTGCAGCTGCAGGTTCACCTGACTTATATTGGACATCACATGGCATCAGATGGATGTGGCCGGGGGGGAATGGCATTGCAGGCCCAACTGTGAGGCCTATTTGACCTGTGGGCCAGAAGTTCCCAAGACACTGATCTTCATAGCAGCCCTTGGGGAAACAAGATTGTGACACGAGAGACCCAAGAGCCTTGCCCACCGCCCTTTTCCTCCTCCATTTCTAACAACTGCTCCCTCTCTCTCTCCCTCCTGCTCCACAGAAAGCTGACCTGGCTGTCGCTCCGCTCACCATCACCCATGTCCGGGAGAAAGCGATTGACTTCTCCAAGCCCTTCATGACTCTGGGGATCAGCATTCTCTACCGGAAGGCCAATGGGACCAACCCCAGTGTCTTCTCTTTCCTGAACCCTCTGTCTCCTGACATTTGGATGTACATCCTCCTTGCTTACCTGGGAGTGAGCTGTGTGCTGTTTGTGATAGCCAGGTAAGGAGCTCACCAGCTACAAGGGGCGCCAAAAGGAACTCTGGCCCTAGGGTTTGGCTCCTATGCTAGGGAGCAGCCACTGTGAGAAGGCCCTCTGCTGTGTCTCCACCAAGCACTCCTATGAGGGTGGCAGGACCGAAAGAAAGATCTCCCTTAAATATCTCAGAGCCCAGGCAAGTTGGTATGGGAGAAGACAGCTTTTCAGGTAGCCTGCATACACATGTGCCAGTCATCTAGTCTTAAAAAACAAGCCAACCCCTTAAGAGAACTTTGGGGAAATCCCTTCCTCTCCCTTGTATGCTAAGTCCCTTCATTTTTGAGGGATAGGGTGTCTGTGTGTAGGGGTGCCACTTTGACTCCCACTATGGCACTTAGTGCTGTGGTCTAAACCACTGAGCCTCTTGGGCTTGCTGATCAGAAGGTCAGCAGTTCGAATCCCCGTGATGGAGTGAGCTCCCGTTGCTCAGTCCTAGCTCCTGCCAACCTAGCAGTTCGAAAGCATGCCAAAAAGTGCAAGTAGATAAATAGATACCACTCCAGCGGGAAGGTAAATGGCGTTTTCATGTACTGCTCTGGTTTCGCCAGAAGCGGCTTAGTCATGCTGGCCACATGTCCCGGAAAAAGTGTCTGCAGACAAACACCGGCTCCCTTGGCCAGTAAAGCAAGATGAGCGCTGCAACCCCAGAGTCGTCTGTGACTGGACTTAACTGTCAGGGGTCCTTTACCTTTTTTATGGCACTTGAGGAAAGAGCAGCCCTACAAAATGTCTCCCCTCCTCTGTCCATGGCAGCCAGTCCTGGCTGCAGTCCCCATAGCCTCCTGCCCCCATTCCCAACGCACACACAATGGGCAATGGCAATAGCCCAGCACGTCCTGAAAAATAAGTGGAGGATGGCACTGACCCGGTTGCTAATGGCAGGCATTTGGTGCAATGGGAAACTCCGCACTGCCATCCCTGTGCAGGAGAGAGCCACCTTTAGCAGGGAGAAGCACATCCCACAGTTAAAGGCAATTGTCTGTCTCTTGCTGGTAGCAGGTAGGGAGGTTGCTGGCCTCCTTCCCCGTATTGGGTTAATAGGATATAATTGGGAGAAGTGGGGGGGATATGGTGGGTGCTGGGGGCCCTGGCCATCCCCTCTGGGTCAGCTCTGTTCCTGCCTTCAGGAAAATAGCCTGTCCAGGCTGGGATCTGAGAAGAGAGAGGGAGGCAGAATGGAACCACAGCGGTGGCAGCATCATTATCTCCATTAGCTCCAGTGTTCCGGCTTTTAGGATGCTTTGCTGGCTCCCTGGGGCCATTACAGCATTTGGAGGCGATTACCTGAGCTTAGTGCCTAATACTCTAATTTCATGTAATGCACTTGTCAAAATCAGCTCCGCAGGGAGGAAGGCTGACTCTTTGTTTGCTCTGGCACATCTGGATTGGCAAAGAGGTCTGCTTTTAAAAAGGGGTTGGGGAAAATGCAGGAGGCTTAGACACCAATTTTGAGGAGAGTCTTCTCCAAAGAACCTGATATTTGTGGAGTGGCTAGTCCTCAAGGGAGTGTCCCGGTGCAAGAGAGCCGCTCAAAAGGGGAAAAGAGCAGATGAAGAAAATAAGTTTTCTGGGGGATAGTCTATAATCTGGGAGAAATAGATTCAAAACCTGATTTAGCTACACACTCCCTGTCTGGCCTTGGGGCAACAGTTAAAATTCTTATAAAGAATGAATTAATTCCACTCCATTTTTGCATTGTGCCAGGCCACAATGGGAGAGAATTACTTTCTGCTTTTCATTCTTCCGCTTAGTTTTGCCTCTCTGTCTTTCCATCCACATTTGCTCTTTGATGATTTCATCTGCACAGATTTCCAGGCAAAATAAACCCCAAGTCACATGAGTGCGTGTGAGTGTATTTCAGAGCAAAGCGCAATTTCTCCCCTTGGCTTGGTTTCAATTAAAGTTCCCGTGACTGTAACTTTCCCCTCTAAACCTTCCTGGCTTTTATCTATCTCTTTGAGCCGCACCTGGTCTTCTGCATAATTAAGGCTGTGCACAGATGGTTCTGGGCAGAAGAGGGTGCAGAGAGAAGGTCCCAGGACATGGCAAGGAGGAAATTGGATCTTTCGCCCCCAGCAATAATAGGGAACATTTTCACTCTTGACCCTTGCCCAGCTCCAGAATTCTAGCCTGCAGGGGGAAAATGTTGCCAAAATTGGCACACCTTAATTCAAAGGCATGAGCCTCTCTTGAAATAAACCGGCCTCCCCCTGCCTCCCCACCATATAAAGGCCTCCATCAGTTCCACCATAGGTCACTGCTGCTTAAAACCAGCTCTGTGGCTGCTTGGAGACCCAAAATGGCAGTGTTTTGATCCATCAGAGCTTTTAATAAGGCTTTGAAGCTTATTGATGGAGCTGCAGCCTGAATCCACCAAATGTCGCTGAGGTTAGAGATGTAGAATGATACCTTCTAGGTGGCCACTTTTGCCTGGTGTTGCTTTGTAGTGTAGTCAAGGCAGCAACATGAATGACAATGTTTAATTGTGGCTGGCTGTGCGTTGACGCCTGGGGTTTCAGGACAGCCCCGCTGCTGCTGCTACTGCTGCTGCCACACACAGGCAGGCGTGAAGTTCTGTATTTGGAGGGGCTTGGGCGGGTATTGGATTGGGCCATGACTTTGGTTTTGCAACTACAGAGGCTCCTTATTGTCTGGGAATGCCAAAGCCCCCCCTCTGTCATTCAAGAATGTGGTATCTGCTTACACACCAGGAAATGAATGAGGCAAAATAATAAATGTGCCAAAGCGGCTCCTCCTCCTCCTCCTTCTTCCTTCCTCCCCCTCCTCCTCCTCCTCCTCCTTCTTCCTTCTTCTTCCTCCTCCTCCTCTTTGCAGATCTCTCCATTTCCATTTCAGCTGAGCATTTGGAGGAGATGAGGCTGTTGTAAAGCCAGGGGGAATCACAGAGGGAGAAATTGCGATGCTAATTAATTTGTTTGGTTCTGAAGCAATTATGCCAATTATGCAGAATTTAATTTAATTATCTTGCAAAATGCAGGACCTTTGGAAAATGTGAGTAAGGCGCTCCAAAGGTCCTGCATTCTTCCTCAAATCCACCTTTAACTGGTATGGCTTTGATTGGATCTTTGCAGCAAGAGGAAGGAGCCAAGTCTTCCTGGAAAAGGCCTACCACTGTCATCTTGGCCTGATCATTGAGATGCTTGAAGGGGGAGTCAGTTCAGTCATACCTTGGATCCCGAACGCCTTGCAAGTCGGACGTTTTGGCGAACTATTTTTGGAAGCCGAATGTCTGACGGGGCTTCCGATTGGCTGCAGGAGCTTTGGTTTCCGAACATTTTGGAAGCCGAAAGGACTTCTGGAATGGCTTCTGTTCGACTTCCAAAGTACTACTGTATGTAGCTCTGTAACCCAAATTCGGGAGATAGGGGAAGCAGGTCACCTGCTCTGCCCTTCTGTTGGAAGCTATCAGTAAAACAAAAGTGGCAATCTTGGGGCAGCTGGTATAGGACCTGATCCACGGCTAGGAGAGGTTATTGTTATCACCCCCTTTTTATCTCTGACTCCACCCCACTCACAGGCTTCCCCACTGCCTTCTCAGTATCAAATCTTAGATTGTCAGCTGGTCAGGGCAGACAGAGACCTGTCCTAAGGAAAGCACCAGTACACCATTGACACAATCATCATCATCATCATTAAACAGGGATGATATGGCTACTCAAAAAGAAAGGGATTTCTAAAATGTAAAGGCATATGCAATCCTCTCCGGACAGGGATTTGCCTTCATTTGCTCCTGCAACTCTATCAAGTGTCATGCATAGCAATGGTATCCTAAGAAAAGTCAGTCCTGCATGGCAGACGTCAACTGAACAAGAAGGGGCAAGGAGGGTGAAAACACATGAAAGAGGCACTTCTCCCTTCCCCCTTTCTCTCAAACAAAGGTCCCTGACCCCCTGCACTCCCCTGTAACAGACAAAAATGTATGAGCCCCAGATAGCCCTTGACTGGCTGGATTAGTGCCAGACTTGTGTCAGCTGCCTCTGAAGCTGGTTTGTTCTTTGCACCAGCCTCTTCTGCCCTGTCTGTTAGGAGTCCTCCCTCAATGCCCGCCTTCTCTCTCCCTGCAGGTTTAGCCCTTACGAATGGTATGACGCCCACCCCTGCAATCCAGGCTCGGACATCGTGGAGAACAACTTCACCCTCCTCAACAGCTTCTGGTTTGGCATGGGAGCGCTGATGCAGCAAGGTAGGCCCCCCCTCCCCTGAGCAAACACCCCCCTCCCGCAAACCACTCTTGTTTGGTGTGTACCTGTGTGTGTGTTTGTGTGTTGACAGGTGCAAGATAAACGTAGTTGCGCTTGTCAAAAGAGAGAAAAAATTGCCTCTGGAGCAAGAGAAATAATGTTGCGCCTCCTCTCCCTTTTTGTCGCGAGGCAGCCGGGGAGTTTCTGTCATCAGACGATGACAAGCAAAGACATTGGTTTTGAAATGGTGGAGTCTGTTTCTTAACAATTACAGGAGTGCTTGTCAAGACCGGCTTCTGTCTCTCCTCCGCTGAGGAGGCTCTCGGGTGCTGCCATGACGGAGCTCTTCCTCCTTCTCCCCTGAGTGCTTGACAACACCGCCTTGTGGAAGCCAGGGGCTGAAATCCATCACCTCACTGGTGCCTCTGCCCATTAATAGAGCTGTACCAGCCGAGGGCAGGTTTACTGCCCTTGGGATCTGCCTCTGTTGCCTGGGCCGCTCACTTCATAGCTCAGTGGTAGAGCATCTGTTTTACATACAGAAGCTCCCAAGTTCGATTCCCATCAGCATCAGGTTTGACTGGGAAAGAACCCTTCTTGGAGATCTGCTGCCAGTCAGAGTAGGCAATACTAACCTATATGGACCAGTGGTCTGGCTGAGTATAAGACACCTTCCTATGATCGTGAGGTTGCTCAGGTTCAATCCCTGATGGCATCTCCAAGTAGGACTGGGAGAGTCCCCTCCTGAAACCCTGGTGCGTGAGCTGCTGCCAGTCAGTGTAGGCAATGCTGAGCTGTATGGGCAAATGGGTCCGACTCAGTCTAAGGCAGTTCCCAGAAGCAAATCAGCACTGTGGGCTAGTCAGGAAACTCCGAGAAAGGGTGAGGAATGGTTCTTGTTATATCTCTCCAGAGGCAAAAATCCAGGCGTCTTGCACAACTTGCTTTGTAAAACAAGCTGCATCTCCACACTGGTTTTTGTTTTAGTTCACCAAATGGGGTTCTGGGGTTGCATGCAGCCCTTGGATTCAGAATCGCTTCTTCAGTGCTAGGATTGTAGCCTCGTGGGTCTGCCTCGCTCTCTCATACTTGCAAGTCCACTGAGTACAAAAGCCTCAGGAAAAAGGAGAAGCACTAGGCACTCATTTTAAAAGGTATATAGCATGACCTTTTATTTTATTGGTATCTGAACCATGCTAAACCTAGGAGGCAGCTCTTCTCTATCTTCTGGCTACCCTACAATGATTCCCTATCCCTGCAGGCCTCCCTCCTCCCAAGGAGGTGAATGTCCACATGGGGAGAGAGGGAGGAGCTGCTTGCTAGTAGGCCAGATCTTTGGCCTAGCTTGTACCTTGGGAGGCTAAGCAATAATAATAATAATAATAATAATAATAATAATAATGGTGGTGGTCTCCAGTCACTTCTCTTTCACTCCCTCCTGAAAACCTTGAAATCTCTCCCATTTTTGCCAATTGCCAATGATGGTGAAATCAGGAGATTTTAACAACTTGAGGGTAGCATATCAGAATTTGGCCAGAGGATAGAGATTAGCAATTAGATTATCAAGTGACTAGATGCACACTGGCATCAAAAGCTACATGGTCAAGCCCAGCAAGAGTGTGGCATGGGCCAGAATGTGGCTCTAACTAGCTCAGCATCTACAGGATGCCTCTGTGGGCTCAACAATCCAGCCTTGTTTAATATATATTGAAAAATAAAAACCTTAAAATAAAATAAAAACAAGCTGAAGTCACCTCCTGAAGCTCAGAACCCGAGTCTCCGATGTCCTGGCCCTCCAATGCTCTGTGTTCTCCAGCTTTGAAGACAGTTTGGAAACTGGTGCAGAATTCCGTGGCCAGGTTGCTTCCTGTGGCGCAAGACGGTCTGAGCACATAACACCAATCCTGGTTTGGATGCTATAGTTTCCAGAGCCCAATTCAAAGTGCTGGTTTTGACCTTATATGGCTCAGGACGCTCTCATCCCGTATGAATAGGCTCATACCCTGCAATCATCACATGAGGTCCTTCTCCATGTGTCCCACCCACAGGAGGTCTGGAGGGTGGCAACATAAGAACGGACCTTTTCAGTGGTGGCTCCCCATTCATGGAATGCTCTCCCCAGGGAGATTCACCTGGTGCCGTCATGATACATCTTCAGGTGCCATGCAGAAACATTCCTTTCAAACCAAGACTTTGACTTTAGCTATCTATGGCCTTTTGGAGTGGGTGGGATGTTTTAATGCCCCCTCCCGGTTTTAACGTATGTATGGGGAAGGTTGTAGGTTGTTTTGCGAGCCACTTTGAGTTGCCATGGCAAAAAAACTGACTAATAAATTTTAGTATTAGTATAAGTCTGGGGTCTGTGGACTGTCTGCATAGCCAGGGTGGTACTGCCCCCACCCAAATTAATCCTGCCCTGATTCAGCTGACTTTTTGATCCCCCAATTCCAGACCAGAGATGTCCTTGGAGGTCGGTAGCAGCAGCAGCAGCAGCTCCCCCCCCCCGCCAAAAAAAGCTTCTCTGCTTTTAATAGGCACCAGGAGGGGCCAGTACCAAAATAGAGGAGCCCTTAATGTCCTTCATCCCTCCTCATTCAAAGTCATTACACGGCCGTTATACCCTTAAAAAAAACAACATATTTTCCTACCTCCAACTGCTATTTAGACCCTTGATCGTTTCTCTCCCCCCCCCACCCCCAAATTGGATACTTTTAAAAAAATGCCTGTGCATTTGAAGCCTCTCCCTAGAGTGAGCCCTTCTGAAAAACCACTCTGTATAAAAGAAGCGCCTCTTTTTATTATTATTTTAAACGGTAGAACAAAACACCCATAAAAGTTCACAAGCGGCTTTCTATTTAAATCACATGAAAGCTGTTCCGTTAATTACTTTGGTTTGAAAATTCCTCATCAACTGCTGGCTGTGCCCAAGGTCAGGAGCAGGAGCTGGTGGAGGGGGGGGCAGGCGGTGGCAGGGTCTGGAAGCATTACAAGGTAAACGACTATTTCTTTGAGCACAGCAGTCTGGCTCATTTCCATTCTTAAAATGGATTAATTTGTGCAACAGTTACAATTCAGCAACAAATAGGCGATAGGATAGCCCTCTTCAAATACCTGAAGGGCTGCCCCATGGAAGATGGAGCAAGCTTGCTTTCTGCTGCCCCAGAGGGTAGGGCCTGAACCAGTGGATTCAAATGACAAGAAGGGAGATTCTGACTAAATCTTAGGAATAACTTTCTGGCATTAAGAGCTGTTTGACAGTGGAACAGACTCCCTCGGAAGGTGACAGAATCCCCCTCATTGGAGGTCATTAAACAGAGGTTGGATTCTTTAGCGTACTTCCTGCATTGCAGAGGGTTGCTTGGGGCCTTTTAAAATTATACAGTTCTATGTGTCAATGAATAAGGTTTGAGGTGTGTGTGTGTGTGTTTGTGTGTAAAAGGTTGTGTGTTTCCTGCACTTCCTTCCAGTCTGTTCCACTCTCACCCTATTCTCCTTCCTCCCAGGCTCTGAGCTGATGCCCAAAGCCCTTTCCACCCGCATCATCGGGGGCATCTGGTGGTTCTTCACCCTCATCATCATCTCCTCCTACACGGCCAACCTGGCTGCCTTCCTGACCGTGGAAAGGATGGAGTCACCCATCGACTCGGCGGACGACCTGGCCAAGCAAACCAAAATCGAATATGGGGCGGTGAAGGATGGCGCCACCATGACTTTCTTCAAGGTGAGATTTGAGTGTGTTCGATCCTCACTTCCAGGCAGACATGGAAATGCACAGCCAGGCTGTGGGATTGGAGCATCAATCATGACAAAGGCAGCGAGGAGCATCTGAAGAGGAATGCAGGCCCCTTCTCTCCCCTGCTTCTCCCTAGGAATGTCAGGGCTGGCCTTTCCTCACTTCTCCTCTACCCAAAAATGCACTGGGAGGCAGGTTGGTTCAGAGCAATGTGCTTGTGGCTGGTAGCACCACCCATCTTCCTGGAACAATACCCACCAACCCTCTTTTGGCTTTCCTTTTTAAAAAAAAAAATGATGTTTATTGAGAATTTTAAAGTTACAAAGAAAAAAGAAAGAAAAGACAAGAGAAGAAGAAAAAGAGAGAAAGAAGTAGATAAACATGACAATTAAACAATACAGATCAATAAAAACCAAAGTAAAAAAAAAATAACAAAACACACAACGCATCTAAATCAAAAAACAAAAATAAACAAAAATAAACAAACAATTAAAAAACAAGTCTAATATTCCCAAATCCTTAACTTTCATTAACTTATTTCAACGACCTCCTCACACCTCCCTTTTTTGTATTCTAGTTGTTAATTATCTCAGCAAATCCTTTCCATCTTTCACAATATTCTGTCATTTAAATTACCTTAATCTATTTTAACCTTATCTTACCCTAAAAAACCCTAAAACTTAAAACTTAAATCTTATATATACCAAATTCTTTTAACCATAACATATTCTTACATAATTCTTTTTGACATTTCTGCTAAAGCCAAATAATTTCATTCCAACATTTTTCTAGTACTCATTAATTTTACAATACTTTTCTAAATAAATTTTGAAACTTTCTTCCAATCTTCATCCATCGTCTCTTCTTCCTGGTCTCGGGTTTTGTCAGTCCTTTCTCGTCCATCTAATCCATCAACCTGGTGCTCTTATGTCCGAGGCTCTTAAGTCTTTTCCATGTCCCTTCTGCAGGTCTTCGTCTTGTTTATACCTGCCCTTTACTTTGTCTTTTGTTGATCTTTTTCTTATTTTCTTTCCTTTCTCATTGGGGGGTAGGTCTCGGGAGGACTCCAATCCAAAAGTATCTCCATCTCTCCTCAGCAAATCAGCCCATTCCCCACAGTCCCATTCCCCACAGTCAACACTGTAATCCAGAAAGTATTTAAAAGCATATTTCAAAGTCTTTCCAAAATTAAGAGCCCTCACAACTCCAGACCCCCCCTGGTCCACTCCAGATTCAAACTTCAAGAACAGCGGCTTATACTCCTGCAAGGCCTCTGATCTCTCCACTTGTGTTATTTGAGGTTCAACAGCAACCTCCTCCATTTTCTTCTGCACTTGCGCTTGCCCTGTCAAAACAGATTCCTGGGCTGGTTCCTGGATGGTTTCTATATGGGTATTCACCATTTGTCCAAAGTTTTTAACTGCAACAGTCATCAAATCCATCTTCTCATGCATCTGCTCCAGCAAAGCACTTGTCTTGCAAAAAGAAGCACCAAGACTTCTTGTAAACACATTTTTTTCCCCAAGGTTAGAGTCTGGTCTCACGATCCTAATCATACAGCTGTGAGGTCCCCAGATCAGCTCCAGCAACAAGTTAACAAGCTCCCTCTAGAGGAGACAATTTCTATTTGTATCCATCTTTTAAAAGCAGGACCAACAAAGAAAAATTACTTTCACTTTTCAAATACTTTGTTTCTTTTGATTGCAAGAAGCAACATTGGAGTCAATTTATTTCTCTCTTTTTTTTTTTTACTATCTGTCAAAAGACGTTCCGTTCACAGTCGATGAACTTCCCCATAAGTTTCTGTCTCTGACACCCCGTTCCCAGGTTTGAGACGGTGGAAAATTTATCTTTCTTTACTCTCTCTCCTGCAGGCTTAAACAGTCAAAAATCCCCCTCTTTTCTCCTGCTTCCAAGAGGGGTTTTGGTGGTGGTGAATGAAGGAAATTTAGAACTTTATATACGACTTTCCAAACTTTAGCTTACAAAGTTTTTGCTTCAATCTATTTACAAAAAACGGGAGGCGGACTTCCTGTTTAGAACCTTCCCATTTCAATGCCAAATTAAAATATTTCTTAATACTTAATCCAATTTTCCATTCTACTCACGGGTACTTATTTAGAGTCCAATTGTCCACAGGAAAAAGTCAGCGCTCTCCGGCAACGGCTGTACGGCTTCACTCCGTAAAAGTAGCGGTTGATTCAAAACACCGCGCCACTCACCCCATGTCGCTTCGGACCCCCGAAAAAGGGTTTCCCTGCGAGTAGGGGAGGCGCTCCTGGTGTCAGCCGAATCCCACGTTCCCAGGCTTCCTCCGCCTGGGATTTTTAAAGGGTCTCCGCCTTCGCCGCGGCGGCAAGACCCGATTTTCATGGAGCGGGTTCCTCTCGGTCAGAGGAACTCTGTCATTGCCGATGGCACTGTCCCGGAAGTCCCCCCTCTTTTGGCTTTCCAAGGTCACTGCCAATGTGGGTTGACTCGGTGCTTTTCTTCTAGAAAAATAGGTGCTGGTATTGCATACCCTTGAGTGCTCCCAGAAAAAAAGCACTGGGTTGACTATCGAGTTGTGTGCCCAGAGAGCAACTGTCAAGCCAGGCTGAGAAGCAGAAACTTGGGAATGAGGGAGGGAGCTTGCAGTGTGTGTGTGTGTGCGCGCGCGCGCATGCGCTGCGTGCGTGTGCCCGCATGTGTGTGTGCATGAGAAAGAGAGAGAGAGAGAGAACTCATCATGCAGCACTAGACACACACAATGGCTACATCCTGTATAGCTGCTAATAATTAGCAAAAAAAAAAAAAAAAAGGAGCAAACGAGGAAGGGAGCTTTCGCATCTGGAAGATCAGGATCCAAGGGGGAATTGAGGCCAGAGGCCTGGAGTTCACACACTGATTTCAATTAATGCAATGAGTCTTGCACTGCTGGTTACTGGTTATGGCAGATTGGTCTTGCCAGGTGTGTGTGTGTGCGATTTTGACCTGTGCGGAAAGTACGGAAAGCAGCAGGAAATCATTCCTACCTATCAATGCAGGAAATGCTTATCAACTTAAATCTAGCACAGGGGCAGGTCTTGCCAGCACACTGCACCAAGAGAATAGCAGGCTGGAGAGTGGGAAAGTGAGTGTTGCAGAAGACCCCTGGCACAGCCCAGGGCCGTTTTCAAGCTCCTAGGCTATAATATTGGATAATGACCTCTCTAGGGGTACACTGAGAGGCAGCTTAACTGTGGGGTGTAAATAAATGATGGGATGCATTTTTCTTTGGCTGTGACCGACAGGTGAGGACAAGGATTGCACGGTTATTCTTTGTATTAATGTGTTTGTAAAGTTGTTCTGTTTAGGAGGCATCCTTCCTGGATATAGTCAGAGTTGTCAATGGCAACAAAAAGTGTGTCCATGTCTTGTAAAGCAACAGAGAACACGGCTGAAATAAGGCATGACAGCAGCAGGACTCTGTGCCTAAACCCAGACCTGCTGCAATGAGTGGGGAGGCAGGACCCAGAGGCAGAGGGGAAGGCAATATACCAGGCCCGGAGGCCAATGCAGAGGTGGGAACTGACCAGTGAAGCTTAATTGTAGATGATGCTTGAGGAAGTTTGCTCAAACTTATCTCCAGTCTAGGTAGCCTTGTGATGAGGTTTCATGCTGCCAGTGAGAAACTAGGTTTGAACAGAACAAGGGACATTCTGGAAGGGGTGCTCCCTGCCCAAGCCCTCCTCTGGGTGGTGGGCAGGAGGGAGGGAGCAGACTTTACTTCTACCCCCCATCCAAAAAGAAAAGCTTGGATATTGTTAGGCCCACAAGGTATCCTGTTCTCTCAAGAAAACAGAGTTCCCAAGTTTCAGAGTTAGTGGCCATCACTGCCTCCTGTGGCAGTGAGTTCCATAGTTTAACTGTGTGTGGCATGAAGAAGTCATTTCCTTTATCTGTCCTGAATCTTCCAACATGCAGCTTCATGGGATGACTGCAAGTTCTAGTGCTATGAGCAAGGGAGAAATACTCTCTTCTAGCCACTTTCTCCATGCATAAATTTATAAGCGTCTATCATGTCGTATCTTCCTCACCTTTTCTCTAAACTAAGAAGTCCCAAACTCTGCAGCCTTTCTTCATAGGTCCACTTGATCATGTTGCTTGCCCTTTTCCAACTCTACAGTATCCTTTTTGAGGTGCCTCTGGGTCCTGCCTCCCCACTCATTGCAGCAGGTCTGGGTTTAGGCACAGAAATGTGCAAAGTAATGCAAAAGTTGTTGCGCCATAGATTTGTATTAACAGCATTATAATACTGGCATTTTTTAAATTTTCTTTATGACCCCAAGCATGGAATTTGCCTTTTTCGTAGCTAGAGATGTCCCCCATGCAAGGCCTGGTTTTCTAATGATGAACTGGTGTGGAAAAACCACCACAGCAGTAGCAACACAGCAGCACTGGAAATTCACCCAAATCCAGTAAGGGATCCAGGGATAAAAGCTGAATAGATGTCAGCTGCTGCTGCTGCCTGGATGTGCTAATGCACAATCGTGCACATGCCTTGGTGGTCCTCGCATAGCCGAATGAGCATCTCTCCGCATCTCCTCTTGCCATGGGAAATGTCTCCTGAGCTAGGATGTGGGAGGGCAGGAGTTTCTCGTGCCCTGCAGGTGTTTAGTTTCAACCAATTGGCCTGCTCTGCCATGCTGATAGCAAAAGGGTATAAATAGGCCACACAGGAGGTTTTGTGAGGCCACAGCAAAGGCAGCAGCTTGAAGACGTGTGCTCAGATTCTGCACCAAAATCTGTTGGTTCTCTGCATGAGGCTTCGTGCCGTCATTTCTCAGACCCAGGATTCAAGCAATTGCCTTTGTGATCATGTGGCTGTTCTCAGTCACTCTTTCCTGGCATCTCACATGACAGTGCTGTCGTTGGCCAGGGGCCACTAGGGGCGCATTGGAAGATGGCCGACAATACCATCTCTCCGACCCACATGGGGTAATTAAGAGGCTGTTATGGGAGTAGGCAGCCTCCCTTGTTGCCCCAAGGGAATGGGGAACACTGCCCTTGCCTGCTGTGCCCATAAATCACCCCCAAATTCGAAAGAAGGGGGTGAGGGCACTAGGCAGAATGCCTCCCATGTGGACCTCGGCTCTCCTGGACGCTGTCTCTGATCGCGCACTAGCTGTAGCAATTTGGAATAATTAATTACAAAAGAAGCAAATGCACATATTTCAAGTGAGGAAGGGGAGTGAAGTCTGCTAATTTAAGTGACCTCTGCGAAAGAAGACGACGGGTTGGAGAAACAAGAATATTTTACGATGAAGATACACCTAAGGCTGGGTATGTCGGCAACGGGACTGAATGGGGGGGGGAACCTTTTTTACTTTCCTTTTATGTGATTAACTAAGAACCCCTCCTCATTAGAACCGTCGGTTGAACTGACCCAAGCAGGATGATTAAGGTCTGTGTGGAGATAAACTTTAACCAAAAGTATGCTTTATGGAGATCGAGAAGCAATAAGAGCTTTTGGAATGGCGCAGCAATTAATTCAGAGTCGCCATCTTGCCAAAGGATTTATAGCCGGGAGGAGGAACGGACTTGTTTTCAGACTGCATTCCTGGTGAATCTCCTCAGAGGTTTTGAGAAAGGAGGCAGATTGGTGAAGATTAATGATGCTAAGACTGTTTTGATGTATGGAAGTGATGTTATATGGAAAACGTCTGGATATGACTACTGGATAAAAAATAATAATATCCACGCAGGATTACAAACTGTTTTAACCAGCTTGTGGAACTATCAAAGGTCACAAAGAGAAAGGAAAAATATATGAAAATAACAACAAGAGATGTGGAAAAACAATAAGAAAGGACTGGACAGTACTGTGAACATCATATGGTTAGATTTGTGGACATTAAAACAGCAGCAAGAAGCAAGAAGTTGATTGGATCCCCTTACTTGAAATATGGGTACCCCCAACAAAAATTTAAAATTCGGCTGTGTAATTTGGAATTTATGTAATTTGGTTTGATTTGATGTGATTGGTCGGTTAATAAAAAATTATTCTTAAAAAAAATAGACAGTGCTGTCGTTGGCCAGAACTGCTTTACCTGACCCTCGCCCATCATGAGACTATGAGAATATCAGGAGAGCCTGCTGGATAAGGCTAATGGCCCATCTAGTCCAGCCTCTTTGCAGGGGCTGAACAGTTGGGGAAAACCTGTAAGCAGGACCCAAGCACAAAAGAGCAAAAGAGCAAAAGAGCAACAAAAGAGCAGCAGAAAACAAAAAGTTGTTTTCTGCCGCTCCAGAGAAGCGGACACGGAGCAATGGATCCAAACTACAAGAAAGAAGATTCCACCTAAACATTAGGAAGAACTTCCTGACAGTAAGAGCTGTTCGACAGTGGAATTTGCTGCCAAGGAGTGTGGTGGAGTCTCCTTCTTTGGAGGTCTTTAAGCAGAGGCTTGACAACCATATGTCAGGAGTGCTCTGATGGTGTTTCCTGCTTGGCAGGGGGTTGGACTCGATGGCCCTTGTGGTCTCTTCCAATTTTATGATTCTATGATTCTATGATTCTATGATTCCTTCTTGTGGTTTCTGCAACTGGTATTCAGAAGCAATGCTGCCTGCAACTGTGAAAGCAGAGCATAGCCTTTGTGGTTAGTAGCCATCAATATCCCTCTTCTCCATGAATTTGTCCAATCCTCTTGCAAATCAATCCAAGCTGATGTAATGATCTCAGGCAGGAATCATCTCACTGCCTCCTGAGGGAGTGAGTTCCAAAGTTCAGATATGTGTTGTGTGAAGGAGTACTTCCTGAATCTTCCAACAAGCATCTTCATTGGATGTCCACAAGTGTTATGAGGGAGGGAGAAAACTTTTTCTCTAGCTGCTTTATCCATGCTATGCATAATTTTATAAACTTCCATCTCTCCACTGCCACCTCTTCCATCAAGACGATATCCAGCTCACTTCTGAAGAGGCAGGACCCACAACAGGATGAAGCACAACTGGCTTAAACCAGATTTCGTAGAATCATAGAGTTGGAAGGGACCCCAAGGGTCACCTAGTCCAAGACCCTGTAATGCAGGAATCACAACTAAAGCATCCATGATAGATGGCCATGCAATCTCTGCTGAAAAACCTCCAAGGAAGGAGAGACCCCAGCCTCCCAAGGGAGACCGTTCCACTGTCGAATAGCTCTTACTTCATAGTTTGCTGTGAAACTCTCTGCTTTCCCAGATTCCTGATCTGCCTGCAAGGCCCCTTTCCAAAAGCACAAACAGGAAACCAGGCGGGACAGGCCCTCATTGCCCCCACCCAACAGGATGGCTCTTCTGGTTTCAGTCATTCACTAGGATGAGAGTTTGGGCTCAACCCTTGTAAACTTTTCATCAGGTTCTGGTCCTGTTCAAGCAAAAGGCTCTGAAGTGAAAGGAAGTTCAGAAAACACTCCCGCGGCCATGAGTGGAGTGTGAGGGAAGAAGAGGAGCCTGTCTATCTGGTCTGGTTGGGGTCTCTACAGTTTTCTTTGCCGTCAGTGGGACAGTTTTCTTGCTGTAGTCCCTCTCAGCAACTCAGCACATCAAGGCATGAAAAGAGACTTGCATTTATTTCCACAATTTGAAAAGAAATTAATTGAGACAGCCAGCAGACTACGATATCACACTTTCTTTTCTTTCTTTCTTTCTTTTAACACAATGCTGCTTAAGACGGAAATTAATTAAGAGATTTAATGGGGGCTTTGAAAGTGTCTTTCAGTTGTAAATGCGTGTGTGAAGAGGGGAAGCCTGAGCTAGGGGGAAGTGCCTTGCAGGCGGATTATCCCTGTTGCAAAGTTAATTTCCTTCTTTGCCAATTTACCCTAAAGTGTGGATTTTAGAGGAGAGGTGATAGGTGCAAAGGCAAATGATGGCCAGTGAGGGCGGGAAGGGAAGTTGTGGGCTTGCAATAAGAGTCAGGCAAAGGCAGGTACGTCCAAAGTCCGTTCTGGGGGCCGGTCGATCTAATCCACCCCTGGTGGCAGTATATGTCCTGGCGTAAAATTCTAAAAAAAACCCCAACAACTTTGGGATAAAATTGTTTTAAAAAAATCCCATAACTGTGCTCGGCCTTAACACATGTTCACTTCATCAAATCTGGCCCTCTTTGAAAAAAGTTTGGGCACCCCTGGGCAAAGGGGCGCAGTGTTGGGGTGGGTGCTGCCAGAGCAATGCACCTATTTCTGGGGAGCGCTGGCAGGGCAGCATGAGAAGGATGCAACATACATGCACCCTTCAAATCAGTCCGATCAGACTAATTGGAAGGATGTGTGCTTGCCCTGCTGCATCCTCCTCACATCACCCACCGCAGGTGCCATGAAGACACACTCTGCCACAGTCATCACCTTCTATGGAACCAACCCTCATAGGAGATGGTGATGTCCACCAAGCTGGATGGCTTAAAAAGAGGATGAGACAAATTGATGGAGGAGAGGGCTATTGATGGCCATAGTTTGAGGCAGCGCTGTTTCTGAATACCAGCTGCTGGAAACCACAGGAAAGGAGAGGGCTCTTGTGCTCAGGTCCTGTTTGTGGGTTTCCCACTGAAGCAACTGGTTGGCCACTGTGAGAACAGGATGCTGCCCTAGATGGCCATTGGTCTGATCCATCAGACTCGTCTTATGTTCTTTTGATGAATGCTGTCCCTGGAAAGGCAGGCATTGTTTTCAAAGCAGACCATTGCAGATGTTGCATTCTTATCCCATCCTTTCTTCAAAAAGAGGTCTCTCAGTTTTAGGCTCATGACAACACGGTTGCTAAGACAGGTGAGCTTCAAGGAGAAACTGGGATTTGAACTCCCTGTCAGACACCAGAACCCTTTTGCTCATTGCACCCCCCACACTGGTGCCTCCTGTGAAATTCTGTTTGCTGTGGGGTGGAATCTGGACAGGTCACATCCACCCACTATCCATTTAGAGCACATGGCTTCCCCCAAAGAACCTGGGAACTGTTGCTTCCCCTCACAGAGCTACAACCCCAGCACAGTTAACAAACAATAGTTCCCGGGTTTCTTTGGGGGGAAGCCATGTATTTTCAATGTATGGAATGGATGATGATGATGAAGAAGAAGAGTTTGGATTTGATATCCCCCTTTATCACTACCCAAAGGAGTCTCAAAGCAGCTAACATTCTCCTTTCCCTTCCTCCCCCACAACAAACACTCTGTGAGGTGAGTGAGGCTGAGAAACTTCAGAGAGAAGTGTGACTGGCCCAAGGTCACCCAGCAGCTGCAAGTGGAGGAGTGGAGACGCGAACCCGGTTCACCAGATTACGAATCTACTGCTCTTAACCACTACACCACACTGGCTCTGGATGAGACCTGACGCTTGGGAAAGCGACCAATGGTCAAGCCAAATTTGTTTCTTAATTAGCTGCATGAAATTTGAGCTGGTCCCTGGATTTGGCATGGGCATGTACATAACTCTCTTGTTCCAAAAACAACATAATATATGAATTAAAGTGGGAATTAAATTTGGTGTACAAACTGGGGAAATGTAAAGGAGTGTCCTGGGAAGAGTCCTAAACAGAGATGTTTGGAGAGCTTCATTTGCTCCCCACCCTGGGCCACTTGTTGAGAGAAAACAGTTAAGCTTCACTTAACTGCTGATCCCAGTTGGAACTGAAAAACATATGTTGAAGAGTTGGTGCTTATTCACACTGGTGTTTAATATGTGTTTGCAGCTGACCAAACCTTAAAAATACAGCTTCCTTCACAAGTAAGGGTGAGGAAACCCTGAAGCATGATGATGTTATAGGGGTGAGACAGAAGGAGGGAGCAGGATGTGCTCTGTTTGACAGCCACCTTGCATCCTCTTGTTCCAGCCTCTTGACAGATGGAAACACAAAGCTTTTGCCTTCTACTGCAAGTGAGGGGCAGTTTATTTGTTTGTGGATCAGGGCGTTCACACATGCATATACATAATTGCCCAGCAGTTATGACTGTACTGTGAACCAGTTACTGAAAGGCTTTTTCTTTTTGATCTAAACTGAGGTTAATAGCAAAATTCTGTTCGTGCAGCTTCACACAGGTAAGGCATCAGCGAGTGAGGAGCATGCATGTGTGAACAGTGCTTTGACATGTGTCTGGACAAAGCCGATGTTCCTCTTAGAAATGAAAAGCATTTGAAATGTGTGTGGGATGATTCTGCTTGGAAGGTTTTTTTACATTCAAGGAGTATACAAATGTTATGGTTCAGGAATTGCTTTGCCTGAGAGGTGGGCTGCCTTCTTTAAGTTCTGATGGGTGGTGGACTCTTCTGAGCACAGGCAGAAACCTGGTAGCAGTCCTAGTGGGCAAAGGGGATAGGGAGGAGATGGGTGGCAGGAGAAAGTAGGAGAGGGAGAGAGAGAGAGACCACTTCAAACACTCAAAGCAAAAGCCTCAGGTTGTTAGCTGTGATTCATGCACTGCAAGGGATTGGACTTTCAACCCTACAATTCTATAAGTTTCCTTCAGACAGTGGCTTCCTGCTGCTCCCATGGGTCCTAACCGTGGAGCTTACTTGCATTGCCTTGGTGTCCTGTCTCTTTAAATCCTGCTGTCATTCCATGAATAGCAACATCTTTCATTCAGGACTAGTTCAGGCAAAGAGGAGGGATTGACCTCAAAGTCTCTCACACCACTGGTGCCCCCATCTGACCTCTGCATTTCTTGTTCCAATAATATAATAATAATAATAATAATAATAATAATAATAATAATAATAATAATAATTTTATTATTTTATTATTTATACCTTTCCCATCTGGCTGGGTTTCCCCAGCCACTCTGGACATCTTACAGTGCATACAGAAACACACTAAAATGTTAATTAAAATTAGCCCCCCAAAGGCTGGTCTATGCAGAATCCAGAGTCTTTTGGCCTCCTCAGTCCAGGGATGGTTCTGGCAGGGTGTGTGAGTGTGTGTGAGAGAGATTTGCAACAGGGTTTCCTGGCAACCTGCACAGAGGGTTTGCTTGCCATGAAAGAAGAATGGATGCCAAAATTAGCAGATGGGCTGCCCATCAAACAGCTGCTATTGCAAAGCGCTTCTATTAATTTGAACAAAACAACCCATTTAAACCGAAATTCACTTGCTAGAGACTAGAGTATGTTTATAACATCCAATCATGATGTAACAAAGGGTGTAGCATCTCAATAAATCTTCCGATGTTGTTGGGTGTGTGGGGTTTTCTTTTTTTTTTTAATCTCTGCATGGCGCTTAAATCAATAGATGACAGATACCTGATTAACTTCAAAAGCTGATGTTGTTAATTGCCTGCTGTATTGACTGTTAGCTTTTAATGGCAAGCAATTACAGTGGACATTTGACAACTAATATGGTTATTAAAAAAAGAATATACTCTCTCCGAGGTGATGCAGCAATAGAAAGTGGGAGTTAATTTGCATGTAATCAAAGCCTAGCCCTAATTGAAGATGCTTTCCATTGGAGCTTGACTGACATTTACAGCAATAAAAAAGAACATGGCATGCATACCCCACCCCCACCATAGCTTTTAGGCCTTTAAACGGGGAGGGGGGCGGTCAGTGGAGGTATAGCTTTATATTTTTATAGATGCTCCCCAAGATTTTTTAGTGGAAATCAAGCCTGCTGGAGACCGTAGACTAGAGACAAGCTATAGTTTTTAAAAAGAGTTGAAGGTGATAAAATGAAAACAGTTTCCTATATGTTTTGTTGTAACGGGGTGCACAGACCACATGATTCAGGTCGGACCTAGTTTTGGCAGTATGGAAAATAGCCTCAGTCCAAAGCCCTTCATCAGCTGGTCAGTTTGGTGTGGGGATTTTTTTTGGGGGGAGGGTCCTATCCAAGTCTGTTCCTTCCACCCCCATCCCATTTCAAAAGTTAGTTGGAGGGATAATATGCTCAGTTACTTTTAAGTTTGATTATTTTTAAAAAGCAGAACATCTATGACTTTTTATTATGGGACAGAATTGGATGAAATTTGCAGGCTAGTTCACTCCTGAAGGCATGAATTCTACAAAATTTCGGGACTTCCGGGTTAGCGCCATCGCCGAATGGCGGACTCCCTCCGAGCTCCGGAGGGAGTCTGCTCGGCAGGGGCTGGGTCCTACCGCGCCGGCGACGCGGGGACCCTTAAAAACCACGGGCACGGAGTCCGTGGACATGGGTGACTCGGCTTGCACCATTAGCGCCCTCCCGACTCGTGAAGGAGCCTTTTAAAGGCTTCGGATCGGGTGCCGGGGAGTGGCGTGGTGCTTTGAGTCCACTGCTTTCCCTGCCGAGCGCAGCCGCATGCCATTCGACGGAGAGCGCTGACTTCTTCTATTGAAAATTTGGACTTTTAACAACAACCCGTGAGTAATTGGGAAACCGGGTTTAAAATTTTGGATTTTGGATTTGGCACGAGCGGGGCGATTTAAAAAGGAAGTCAATCCCCCCCCCTATTGTAAGCATTCCAAAACAAGGACTGGGTAACCAAGGTCCAAAGGGAAGTATGTTTCTGATAAAAATCATTAATTCCACGATGGGAAATTATAAGAAATGTGCTGGAGGAGAAGAGTGGAGGATGAGAAGAAAAATGCAACCCCCCCCCTGGGAACCGGGGCGATTCGTGGAGCCTGGTGAAGAGAGACGGAGACTTTGACAGCTGTCAAAGTGGCTGTCAAAGCTGGAGAATATAAAGAGGACTTTATGAGGACTTTGCTGGTAAATTTTGCTACAATTTGCTATAATATGGATATAAACTGTTGGAAAATAAGCAACAATTTGACTTTTGGATTAGAGGATACAAAGTTATTACAATCCCCCTAGAGGGGTTTCAGGATACTACAAGAACGGTCGTAAGTGGAAAAATACCCTGGGATTCGCACAGGATTTGTTATCTTCTGGGAAAGCTGCAAAACTGAAAGAGTATTTTGTCTACAGAGGAAGACAATGGAATTTTTATTGAAGAAAGAAAGGGACTGGACGTAAGTTTTTGTTCCTGAATAACAAACCTCTGCAGAGACACTAGATTTCTGAATTAGAAAGTTTTAGCAGCTGAACAGGACAAGAAACCTGAGAAAGTGAGGAATAAGAAGAATAAAGGACTGATTACGACACGGAAAGAACAACGGGAGGAGTGGTAAAGATCAAGGAAATTAAAGGCCTTTGTTAGATTGGACATTTGAAGTCAAATATTATTTAAATTAATAAACTAAAAGAAAACCGGCAAGATGGAATCGGGAGAAATTTGGTCATGAAATGAGATTTCCAAGCTGATAATGTATAGACTGATGGACATGGGGAATTCAAACCGGGAAGGGGGGAGATTTGAAATCCAAAGGCTGTGTAACCATTTTTTGAACTTTTCTATATCTTTTATTTTCTATTTCTTTACATAACTTACGCATGTTATTTTACTTTGATCGGACGTGTTTAAAAAAAAGGAATTTGTGGAAGGAACTGGGGTGGATCTTGGGGAAAATCTTTTTCTTTTTCTGTTAATGATGTGGGACGGTGGTAAGATTTGTACAATTCAAATTGGATAGTGGGTTAAACAAATTAAGCTTTAAATTTGGGAGTGAGAGCTTGTAGAACCAAATTAAGGAAAGGGGAATACAACCGGGGGAGGGGGAGTTCCAGAAAGTAGGGAATGAAAGTAAGGTTTTTAAATATCTTCTTTTTTTATTTTTTTTTCTTTGTACTTTTATATTTTTGGAAACTTCAATAAATATGATTTAAAAAAAAAAAAATTCTACAAAATTTCAGAATGATTGTTTATGTCTTGTTTTAAAAACAAGATAGGTGCCCCTAGGCATGCCAATTTGCAGACAAATATGTTTAGGGGTTTGGGGGCTGTTTCTTAAAATTACAGGCTGCATCAACTATGTATAGTGTCCAGATCTAGGGAAGCAATAATATCACTATTCTGCTTTGGTCTGACCCCAGCTGGTTTGTTGGCTATAGCCAGTGACAATCAGAGGGAGGGCTGGGAGGGCTAGCTACTTTGGAATATTTCTGTCCAAATAATATTTCTGTGTCTTGACCTTTGGGGCCTTACTAGCTGCTCAGTATCGATAATGATCTGCTTTGAAGGGACCATCTTTGGCTGTTCCCAAAGCTCAAGCTCAAAAGGGGACCTCAGATTTAGACACTTGTTCAACTTATCAAATGCCAAAAAATTAACAACTTGTTTTTATGGGCATCAGACCAATATGTGATCTCCTTGGAATGTAAGTTTGTTTTTAAGTCCAATTATGTCTCATTCTTTTTGGTGCCATATTTTGTTTTCATGTGTTTCCTTTTTAAATTATTATTATGGCTCAGAATCCGGAAGTGGCTAGGCCTCTCCTGACCTCTTGGAGGTGGAGTCTGGCTGTAGCTCTCTGCAGGGACAAACTCTCAGGTAGCTGTCCAAGGTATGGAAGGCCCTCTGCTTGGTTAGGTTTCCTGGCTGACCATGGCCTGGTTTTCCTGCAAGCCTCACAACTCCCACAGAACTGGACACAGGGCAGCCCACCTGACCTCCTTACTGTATCTGCCCTCATGACCTTCCAGGTATGACCAAATATACAAAGCCACCAATAAATCAAATCAATAAACATGACACTCTCAAGGTTTTTTAGAAGCAGATTTTCCAACTGCACAAATTCCCTACCAGGCACCCCACACTAAAAAAGCCCGAATGAACACTAGTGTGCTCTCCCCACCCCCGATTTGCTTACACCCTGTGACAGGGGCAGTTTCTCTGTAGGAGTCAACAGTTCTTATTTACTATACAGGACAGTCCAATGGCCCCTGCATCATTGTAAATCCCAAATCAGTGACACTCCCACTGGTGCAAGGACCTTTGTTCCCAATGGCACATTTTGTGTCCTGTTGTACACTAAACAGAAAAGCCTCCTAAACCCCAATGCCAGAACAGTATGGAGCAGGCAGAAAATGTAATTCCCCAAGGCCATTTGAGGGATTCACCTAAAAGAGATCTTTAGTGGACGTCTGGCTATTGCACTGGGTCAGGGGAACAGGTAGTCGTGCTAGATCCAAAGTGGGTGGCCCCCTCCTTATAAAAGCATGTGTGGTGGGGAACTAGTGTGGTGTAATGGTTTGGGTGTTGGACTAGGACCTGGGAGACCAGGGTTCAAATCCTCACTTGGCCATGAAGCTCATTGGGTGACCGTGAGCTCAGCCACTGCCTCTCATTCCAACCTACCTCACAGGGTTGTTGTGGGGATTAATTAATGCGGGGAAGAACTCTGTAAGCCACCTTGAGCTCCGTGGAGAAAAAGGTGGGATATAAGTGAAATAAAGAGATAAATGTGTTACGGTTCAGGGTTATGCCCAAATGTGCCCAGATTCTGTTCTGTTCGGTGTGTAATCTGTTGTGGAAAGTGCTGGAATTCAAATGTTCTTCACCTAATGGTTGGTATATGACTCCTTAGCTACCGTTTATGACTCTCACTTTTAAAACAGCAAATGAAATGAGCTGCACCTCCCTCCCATACAAAAGCAATAACAACAAACTGTCCAGAGTGCATTTAAAGACAAGATAATGGCTCCTACAGGAGGGGCCCCCATAGCTCACCAAATGGCTTCAGTGATGTGAGGCAGGCCTCCCTCCTCCAAGGCGGAAAACTCCCACAACTGGGTTGAGAGAACTTGATGGTAATAAGAAGTAGTATATCATACCCTGAAGCACTTCTGAGCCAAATCGTCTTCATTGCATGATTTAGGTGAAAGTCAATAACAGCGCCGCCACCCCTCCCCCCATCCTGCCAACTTGGCTGCTGCCAGCTGAGATTGTATTTCTGTAGTTATCTTCAGTGTGTGAAATACTTTGCAGCTCTTCCCTAATTTAACTTCACAATAGCTTTCCGGCGTAGGAAAGACTAAGTAACATTTGAGTAGGGACTACCCAATTGTAGCTTAGATTGTTTTAGAGCAGGGGTAGTCAACCTTTTTATACCTACCACCCACTAATGCATCTTTCTTGATGGTAAAATTTCCTTACCGCCCACCAGTGCTCAATGAAAGGAGGATTCAGCTTGTGCTACCTACCGCCCTACCTAGAATCCTGAAACGCCCACTAGTGGGTAGTAGGGACCAGGTTAACAACCCCTGTTTTAGAGGAACAAAAGAATACTCCCTGCTGGAAGGAAGCAAAGGTCCTTCATTCTGCTTCTAGCTCAGGCCCCCAGCATGGAAGTGATGTCAGCTGCCTGTTTGTCCCCCATTTCTGATATTCGGAGGCACACTGTTTTCGTATCTGAAAGTTCTGGTTAGGTAACAGATGTTGATAGACACATCCCTCTCCGTGTATTCATTTATTTTTTTTAAGCCACCAAAAGCAGTGGCTATCATTGCATCTTGAGACAATGAATTCTACTCATTCATTCATTCATTCATTCTATACCTCCTTTGGCCTGTCCTAAACCTATGGGCATAGCTGGGGTGGGGCAAGATGGCAGCTGCCCCCCAAATCAATAAAAATAACTGAGGTTCTGTCCCCGCCCCCTTATCAAAAGTCTCCCTGTTTAACAAAAATCCTGGCTATGCCCATGCCTGAACCTTGTGCCGAACAACTGCATTGGGTGACCCAGAATTCCAGCATTAAGAGAGAGGGAGAAGAATATCATCCATTTGTTCCCTTTCCACTAGTAATCTAGGGCTGCTGTTGTTGTTGTTTAGTTGTTTAGTTATGTCTGACTCTTCGTGACCCCATGGACCAGAGCACACCAGGCACTTCTGCCTTCCACTGCCTCCCGCAGTTTGGTCAAACTCATGCTAGTAGCTTCGAGAACACTATCCAACCATCTCATCCTCTGTCGTCCCCTTCTCCTTGTGCCCTCCATCTTTCCCAACATCAGGGTCTTTTCCAGGGAGTCTTCTCTTCTCATGAGGTGGCCAAAGTATTGGCGCCTCAGCTTCAGGATCTGTCCTTCCAGTGAGCACTCAGGGCTGATTTCCTTCAGAATGGATAGGTTTGATCTTCTTGCAGTCCATGGCACTCTCAAGAGTCTCCTCCAGCACCATAATTCAAAAGCATCAATTCTTCGGCGATCAGCCTTCTCCAGCTCTCACTTCCATACATCACTACTGGGAAATGTTACAGGGGTGTTACATTCAGAAAAAAAATGAGCCAAGAATGTGTGTGCATCCTATACACAACACAAGCCAGTTCTTTAGATGTTTTGGACTACAACTCCCATCAGTCCTTTAGCTCCTTTGTATAGCCAGGCTGTCAGGTTGGCAAAGGCTGTTGTGTGTACTGACACAAAGTACTATCAAGCAACTTAGAAACCAGAATTGAGACACCATCCATCATGAGAAGCAATAGGAGAACAGTTGGTTGCTCCCAGAATGATTGTGTGAGAGTGAGAGTGATAGTGAGAGTGAGACAGATAGACAGACCAAGAAACAAACAAACAAATAAACAAACAATCTGGGCAACAGCAAAGTACAGTTGAGTAAGCCTTTCCTGTGCAGCCATAGTACAAGCCATAGTCCATCACCAGCATTTTGCAGACCAACTGCTTTCTTGCAGTGCTGAAATTGAGTTCCAGGGTTGGCATGCCTTATTCCATAAGCATCTCCTGGGACATGAAACACCATTGACAGATCAGTGGAAGGAGGAAGCACTGTGATGCTTTCAGGTTGGACAAAGAAGGGAAGAGTGTCTGTGTGGCAGAGATGCTTTTTTGCAGCCTTGGGCTTCCTGCCATTATTAAATACATTGTTTTCTGTTTTCCATGGGTCTGTCATTTTAGAAATCCAGGATCTCCACTTTTGAAAAGATGTGGGCCTTCATGAGCAGCAAGCCCTCAGCTCTCGTTAAGAACAACGAAGAAGGGATCCAGCGTGCCCTCACCTCCGACTATGCCTTGCTGATGGAATCCACCACCATTGAGTACATCACCCAAAGAAACTGCAACCTGACTCAGATTGGGGGTCTTATAGACTCCAAGGGCTATGGGATCGGCACTCCTATGGGTGAGGAAAAGCAGTGCCTGGCCAGGGGAATGCAAGAACTGGGTTTGCTAAGGCATGCTCATAATAGCTGCTCCAAATGCTGGGCTGGAGACTCACTGGCTCCTGCAGTGCTTCCAGGTTGGGTTGCGGGAGAGGGATCCAGCTTGTTGGAGTGCAGAGCCTTTGGCTTTCTTTGCTTTGCATATAATAGCATGCCCACTTTCTCTGTGCCTCCCACTTTCAGGTTCACCCTACAGAGATAAGATCACCATTGCGATCCTCCAGCTCCAGGAAGAGGCCAAGCTGCATGCCTTGAAGGACAAGTGGTGGAGAAGCAATGGCTGCCCTGAGGAGGAGAACAAAGAAGCCAGTGCCCTTGGGATCCAGAACATCGGGGGGCTCTTCATCGTCCTGGCAGCTGGCCTGGTCCTCTCCGTCTTCGTGGCCACCCTGGAGTTCATCTACAAGCTGCGCAAAACAGCAGAACGGGAGCAGGTATGGGCTGTGGCAGGACCACACAGGGATCACCAATCTGACCCCTACAAAAAACCCACAATCTGAACAAGGAAGTTCCTTAAAGGAACTTTCTGTCCAAAAGCAGCCTCTCCCCTTTTCGGGAATGTGCTTGTGCACATTCAGTGTGACATTTGAAATGGGGTTGTATTATTATTATTAATTATTGTTACAATTATTATGTTTGAATAATTTTTACCTGCCCTTCACAATAATGTTCTAGGTTAAATTCAAATATCTTTAATACGGTCAATGACCAGGAAGCAATTTATAAAATATGACATTAAGAGTAGTATTGTGCTACAAGTAACAGTAAAAATATGGCCAATTCACAGAATTGGTGCTTATATTTATGACCAGGTTTCGAGTTTTAAGTTTTTAAAATTCAGTTCAGGAGTCACTACTGTTTATTATTGTTCCTTCAATGTTTACAGTTTGAACTCCTTTGTAGACATCATTGCTCGTCTTATTCTTGTTGCAATGTAACAGTACTTTGCCACGGACCTGTTAATTTCGGGCTCTTTGTCAGCTAAGAGGTGTCTGATATAGGTGTTGTCTGTACTACGAGGTATTTTCCTCAGAATCGGTTCGATCAGCTCTTTTCTTGAGTCTCAATATAATGGGCAGTATAAGATAATAATGTTCTAGGTTAGATTACAGCATTAAAACACAATATAAAAAACAATATGTGGTGGCCCTTAAGCTATGAAGCTTCCTCCCCACAGAGGTGGTTTTGGCACATACACATTGAATAGCTTCCAGAGAATGTTGAAGATGTACGTCCTTACTCTGGCTTTTGACACTTGAGGTGCATATTTTCAGGACCTCGCTCTCTTATTTTTATAGCTCTAATTTGTTTTTGTATTGTGTTTTAACACAGCAACCTGCCCTGGGACTTTAGTCATAATAAGACCTTAATATTGAGAATAATACTCTAGTCTAAATGAATGAATGAATGAATAAAATAACCTTCGGTGTTGCTAATGCAGCAGTTTGACTTCACCCCCAGAGCTGCCAACAATGAACATACAAAAGTGTTTTATAAATCCTTTCCTCATGAGAATGCACCAGTAACAGTACAACAACCATGAGATCTAGAAACTTGTCCTCTTGGCTCCAGTTCTGCCCCAGGCAGCATGCTCATACGCACACACAGCACACCGGCCTGTAATGGTCCCCTGGTCCTAGACAAGTCTGTTTCCTGCATGCTTCCCATTTCAGCAAGCAAGAGCCACTGCAGGTTCATTGTGCTTGCGACATTCCCCTGTCACGTGCTGATTTCTGCCTCAAGGTCATTTCACCCCAAATCTAATGCAAGCCTCCTTCCTGTGCCTCCTCCTTTCTTCCAGCGTTCCTTCTGCAGCGCCATGGCCGACGAGATCAGGCTCTCTCTCACCTGCCATCGCCGGGTGAAACACAAGCCCCAGCCCCCCGTCATGGTGAAGACAGACGCCGTCATCAACATGCACACGTTCAATGACAGGCGGCTTCCTGGCAAGGACAACATGGCCTGCAACACGGGACTGACCCCCGTGTTCCCGTGATGGGGTGTGGAGGGTCAAACACCAGGGAGGGGCTTGCTGGAGATGTGTGGGGAGAAAGGCGCACCACCAGGACTGCCGAAGCAGAGAAAAGGAGGGGAAACAAACCCCCAGGTTTTGAGAACAAGGCCTTCAATGTAACTTCAGCCATCATCCAACTTGGATACAAGAACCCGAAGCATGGATCGCGACGCCTGCAGTTGGGAGTCGTTGTTTGATTATTATTATTTTTCCAGATCAAGGTTTAAGCAGCACCATGGACTCCTCGGCACCCAAGCCCTGCCCTTCCCCAAGACACACCCAGGAGGAGCCTTCATGTTTACATATCAAATGGATGGAAGACATAAATAAAGCCAGGGCATGGACTGATCTGGGGCAGAGGAGAGCCGCCGCAAAGCTTGCGAATCCGACGCTTCCATTTCAGTATGGCAATAAACAAAGCAACCACATTGGGGGTGGGGGGGTGGAATCTGGATTGGCTTGCGCAGCATGTGCCAGAGACAGCGTGGGAGAAAGTTGTGGGGTGGAGAGCAGGGGAGGAGACTCCTGGTCAAAGTCACGAGCCTTTCCCTTGAAGGAACCCAATGGTGGCCTCAGCGCTGTGCTGGACTCTCGTGCACCAGGAAGCCCCCAGTGGGCCACCAGCACACCTGTCTTGCATGGGTGTGTTGTGGGCTCCTACTTGGGGAGAGGAGACAGCAGGGGAAGCCTCTTTTATTCAGGGGGAGGGGGAGGGAGGTTGGGTTTCCATTTGTCTGACAGGAACCGTTAAGGGGAGAGAGGGTATGTCCACAGTGACACAAGCAAGCATTGCCTCTACTTGGAGGTGTGGATTCCTGGCACTTGGAGGAGAAGAAGGAATTGTATCCTTCAGACAGTGGCTCCTGCAACACTTTGGTGCTGTCTGCTCCAAGTCAGTTATGTGAGACCAAGCAAAGCCACCATCCTTGGGGCGAAAGTGGTTGCCCTCAGGAAGGCTAACATAATCCACAAATGGGTAATGATGACCATGATGACTGATAGAGGAGGGGCATAAGAAAAGTGGGTTGTAATTCAGCATTTAATTGTGGTTGGGGAAGATTTGGCAACACTCTAGGCATTTTGTTGGTGGTCAATCTGGATTCTGGGTGAGTTGAAGTCTGTACATTTCTGGGTGCATTACTCAAAAATAAGTCCCACTGCATTCAATGGGGCTTATTCCCAATTTTGTGTGCATAGGCTCATTGCGCAAATCACTACCATTAGAAGTCATTAAACTGTACTTCAGGCAGAAGAGCCTCTCCCCTGGGTACCATGAATTGTCTTTTTCCTTCCGGATAGATTTTTCTCTCTCCAAATGACCAAAGACTGCCCTTTGCCTGCCATTCAAAAGAACACAGTGAATGGGCGACTCTGTGGTATTGCCAAATACTGACTGTCTTTTCCCTGAAAACCTAGCAGGAGTCTGACAAGTTGTGCAACTGCATGCAAAGCTGCCTCTTTCCACATTCAGTCAGCTTTAAGACTGATGCAATGGTTTGTTTTGACTTGACTTAAGGCACATTTGCAAGACAAGTTTCCAAACAGTCTCCTAATTTCAAAATTTCAGTAGTCAATTACCTGCCAAGTCTAATTCATCTCAGTCCACAGCTGGGGGAAGTTATTATCATTCATTGATCAGTTTATATATTGCTTGCATACCACAATGGCTTCTAAGTGGCTTACAAGCATAAAATCAATTATAAAACCCATACATAATTGAAATGCACAATAAAAGAATTTCATCAAAACATTTAGAACTCCCATATACTAAAACAAGCCAATAGAAAAGCAGAACAATTAAACAGTTGGATCAAGAAGTACAAGTTCAGGAGAATGCTGGCCTAGACGGCCGTGTTTTCCAGAGCTGGCAGAATTCCAGTAGTGGTGGAAGGCCTCTCATATCGCAGCAGGGAAGGCATCCCACAACACTGTTGCCACCAGTTCTAGGCCAGAGAGAGACTCAGAATCAGGCCCTGGTCTAATTGGATGACTCTGAATCCTGGTAACAGGTGATAAGATGGGAGCGGATTCCCTAGTCCACCTTCTAACCCTCCTTTCATGAAGTGTTGCCTCTTTCTGCCAGCATTCATATAATACCAAGTTCATGCAAATTGCAATTTCTTAAAGACCCATGGCAGATTGGACCAGAGTTCCTGCCGCCTTCAAAAACAGCTGAGACTTTCCAAAGGAGAGAAGGGAGAGGTTCTGCTGGCCAAGGGGCCCTCAAAGTGATACAGATCCTGGCACAGCTCCAAAGCCATTCAGAGCTGCCTGACTTCACAGGTCTAGGAAACCCAGTAGGGAGAAGAGCACCAAAGCTTTAAGAGGCAAGAGGCATCTCACTGACAAAAACAATGGGTGTCCCTGGCATATAACACATAGGAGGCCAGAGTCTTGGGCTTGGCCATTCACACCCATCATTGATGCTCCTTTGCCTCCCGTCCAGTGGCCCCCTTGCTTTCCTCCAGTAGTTCTGGGCTCTGACCACAAGCAAAGGTTTTTCTCTAACCCTCCATACCCCCATTTGTTGCCTTTGTTGCCCAAACTGCTACTTTCTGCCATAGAGCTGCCCCACCAAATAGGACAGAAATTGACCTTAGCAAAATTTGAAGAAACAATTAGCACAAAGCATTCAAGAACAGCCCTCAAGCTAGTTAATGAGAGGGGAATTTAGCTGGAAGGAGAGGGCTAGTGATTGCTCCTAGCCATGATAGCTGTTCTCTGCCTCCACAATTGGAGGTAGGGTTGCTTCTGAATACCAGTTGCTGGAAACAGCAGGAGGGGAGGGTGTTCTTGTGCTTGATTCCTGCTTGCTGGTTTTCCACAGGCATCTGGTCAGCCACTTTGAGAACATGATGCTGGACCAGATGGGCCATTTGCCCGATCCAGAAAGCTCTTATGTTCTTAAGGGTATCCGCCCAAAATATGGCTTACTGGGGTGGGCTCCCAGAGAGGAGCTGGGTCTTTTTGGATTTCCACAACCCACTAAGCTAAGGCAAAGTTTGGCTTTGCCTGTTTTCTGAACCCAGCTCTCTCCGCACTAACTACAAGCCATAGCCAAGATTTGTGCACATTCGTTTGGCTTACTGTGTTGTGCGAACAAGGCCACTGTAACCCACTGAAACATCTGCCAGTGACCTCCAATCAATTTCACACAACTCCTCCCTGCCACCTAGGAAAAGGTGGCTGGTGTTACTGTTCCATCCCTACTGGGAAGCAGGAGGCCATTTTGCCAAGAAGACAAAAGAGTTCAATCATTCTCAAATCCATTAGCTCAGACAGGCTTCAAAACTTTTTAAATTCATAGTAGCACTTGAAGTTGCTGCTGGTTTTGTTTATTCATCTCCAGTTGAATAAATCATCAATTTATTTCAGCAGATTAGATCAGCAACCATTCAGCTATCTCGGAATTCTTTGCAACATCAGTTTGTCATCGCAGGTGAATTTGTCCAAAACCTACTAAAGCCAGTCTCTGAATTTCATGTAAAACAGTGGGGAGGGCTGTGCGCTTTTAATGTTGCTGTAAGTCTTTATTCCTGTTCTTTTTCATATGTTTGTCTTCTATGCCAGGCCTCTTTAGGCAAATGTTTTCAGTGTGTGCATAAAAACGATTGAGAGCTTTCCAGCTACCCAGACTGAATCGGAGGTTCACCTGTATCATGAGTGTATGTGTGGAACAGCTCACCACTTTTTGCCCTGACTGCTGATGACCAGCCACTGATGGAGACAAGATACTGAACTCAATAGCGGGAGTGTCTTGGCTAGCCAACCAACCATGATTTTATGATGACTTGGAGAGAATGTTGGGAGTGATTTGGGGTGGGGGTGGGGGTGGGGATATAGTTTGCTTTTACTCAAGTTCTAAGTGGTAACACAGGGAAGGGAAATGGTCAAGGTTGTCACTACTCTGCCAAAGGCCTTGCAAAGGAGAAAATGCAGCCCTTGAACCTTTGGCCAGGGCAGTGCCCTGGAAGCTCCAGCAAAGATGTCCTCTCCACTCCCCTGATGGCCAGCAAATACTGACTGATACTCAGCCTGGTTGTGGTGTGCCCAGCACCTCTATCCATGTGGCTCTGCAACAGGACAGCCTAGGTGACTTCTGGAGGTACCTTCTGATCTTGAACTGTTACCAAGATGTGGAGCTGCAGTGCTAGCCCAACCACGCACATGTTCTCACAACCACACAAACTCACATTGCTTGATCACGAATACCTGTTTGGCTCTAGGAAGGTGACCCAGCCAGCAGCTGTACTAGAATAAGGACTGTGGACCATCATTGTCAAAACTGCCCTTTTGCTGTCTATTCCAAACTTCCCTCTTGACAACAACAACAAGTGACAGGACTGGTCTCTGTGACATTCAGGGGAAATACTCCTTTGTGGACATGCAGAAATTTCTATGAATATAGTTTTTTGTAAACATTTTGTAATAATTTTGGTTTCATAGTAACTGTGTTACTTGCAGATCATTCTAGGCAGATGTAAATAAAATTTCCAAAAAAACAAAACAAAAAATTGAGTTTAACGTTTTAAAAGAAAAAGAAAAATCTGATTATTTTCCTTTTTAAGACACTGTGATATATCAAAGTGCACAGTTTGCTGTATGAGGTAACATTGTTTTAAATTTTAAATAATAATAAAAAAGAATTTATACAAAAGAAACACCCAAAAATTCTTTCCTCCCACGTTTGTGTTCCCAAAAAGCGAACATGCAATTAATGCAAGTCATATCTGTTATTTATTATTATTATTATTATTATTATTATTATTAATTGAATTTATGTCCTGTCCTTCCTCCTGAAGGAGCCCAGGGTAAAAAAAAGATACATAATTTGTTTAAAGCATCCTAAAACAGTAAAAACATGCTAACAACAATTACAGTTAAACAGATTTAAAGGCAGTTAGATTTAGAGTTTTTCCATCCAGTAATTTCAGGGTTGTCGGGAACAATATTCTTCAGCCATCAAATGCCTAAGTAAGCAG